TGGGACAGCGACTAAAATTTAGGAGGGACAACCAAACACCACCTAATTTGTGCACTGAGCCCTTGATTTTCACTGACCAAACTTTTTAACACAATGTTCATGTATACATGTTTATGTTAGTGTTGTGACACTCCTTGTTCAACAACCGAGTGTTGCAGAAATATGTATGTTGTGATAGATTTGCGGTCACACAAGAATGGACCGAGTTCGGAACGATGATATACGTGATCACCTAGAGGTAGCACTAATTGAAGAAAAGTTTGTCCAACATCGGTTGAGATGGTTTGGCCATATCCAAAGGAGACCTCAAAGGCACTAGTGCATTGTGGAGTCCTAAGTCAAGCTAATAATATGATGAGAGGTAGAGGAAGACCGAAATTGACACTGAGAGAGACAATAAAAAGATATTTGAAAGCTTGGGATATACCTAGAGATCTATGTTTGAATATGAGTACTTGGAAAGCAGCTATTGAAGTGCCTGAACCGTGACTTGGGGCTCTTAGCCTACCTCAACTTATTTGGGACTGAAAGGCTATGTTGTTGTTGTTGTTGTTGTTGTTGTTGTTGTTGTTGTTGTTGTTGTTGTTGTTGTTGTTGTTGTTGTTGTTGTTGTTGTTGTTGTTGTTGTTGTTGTTGTTGTTGTTGTTGTTGTTGTTGTTGTTGTTGTTGTTGTTGTTGTTGTTGTTGTTGTTGTTTTTGTTGTTGTTGTTGTTGTTGTTGTTGTTGTTGTTGTTGTTGTTGTTGTTGTTGTTGTTGTTGTTGTTGTTGTTGTTGTTGTTGTTGTTGTTGTTGTTGTTGTTGTTGTTGTTGTTGTTGTTGTTGTTGTTGTTGTTGTTTTTGTTGTTGTTGTTGTTGTTGTTGTTGTTGTTGTTGTTGTTGTTGTTGTTGTTGTTGTTGTTGTTGTTGTTGTTGTTGTTGTTGTTGTTGTTGTTTGTTGTTGTTGTTGTTGTTGTTGTTGTTGTTGTTGTTGTTGTTGTTGTGACACTCCATGTATCCAGGTTGATGAACAAATTATCGAGCATGCATGTATATTGTATGATTGTGAGCTATGCGAGACCAAGCATTCTAAATTCTTGGCTACTTGTGGTGAGCACCTCGAGGAAATATCTTGCATTGATTAAGGGATGGAGTCCGATGAAACTTGCAAAAGCTTTGATGATTTTATCTATTCCTGAAGAAGATATACCATCTGATCTAGAACTGGTAAATCGACTTGTTCCCTAGTTCACTGTACATCTGATGGAAACTTTAATGAAACAATTGGCCAATGGCTTTGTTTGTTTCAGGACTACTCGGACGAGGAGGTATCAAAGTTGAAGAATGACGGATTCAAGTATGATGGTACACTTCTGAAGACAACCTGCGTGACCATCTACAGTGAGATGGTGTCGGCCCGTGAAATTCTGGCAGATACAGTAAGAAAGTTGAAGTTGTGGACCACAGAAACTAATGAAGCAAGTGAAGAAGAGCCTGAAAGCTCTGGAGCTACCATGAAGCAAGAAACACTATGAGCTCTACTAGTTGGTTGAACACCATAAGCTAGCTCGGTGGATTCTGTTAGTTGAGCTGTTAATTTGTTGCCGTGGAATGTTGCGATGGCAGTATGTAATTGCTGCAAACATGGATGTAAGATAAAGTTGATGTGTTACTTTTGCATTTTCAACATCGAAACATCAAGCTCGCTTGCTGTGTCAAGCTGGAGGTCGTATGTCCATTCGTTGTTGCCGTGCCTTATTTGTTGTTTTGTGTGCTACTCGTCTGTTCATAGGATGGAGTCAATATTGTGGGTACGAACTATTCGTTCTTGTGGTTCTATTGCTGCTACATGAGAGGACCATGCGTAGACAATGAATGTTCTCATGTGTAGACACTTCTAAGTTTGACTAAGTGTATCAATCTATTGAGCACAATTGGACTAAAGGAAAATGGAAATAGATTACACGGGAATCAGAGTAGGGATCACTGGTTAGAGTTTGTTTGGCTCGTTGTTGGAACGATACCTTCTACTCCTTGGGCAGAAAAGAAAATTGCAACAGCTACAAGAAAACCACTAGCCTTGGCATTGCCTCACGACCATCCCTTGCCCCATTTGGCCATTTTGCTCTGAAAAGCAAGCTTCCATTCGTCCTGTTTGGCTGTTTTGCCTTCTTTCCCTCCCCTTTTCCCAAGTTAAGTTGCGAGGGGCCCCTTGGAGAACCCAAAGCCAGACGAGAAAAGCATGAATCGGTCGAGTAGCACTTTGATTCAAGGAGTGTGAGGTTGATTTGGATGGGTGCTGATCGACTCGGTGCTGCTTTGATACATCTTTGCTAGCGAAGCACCAAGATACCTCGATTCGGACCGTATTAAATCAACATTTGTGTATCTGCGGGCTGTTCAACTGATGATTTTGTGACTGATAAGCCAACTGATGTTGTTTTGTTATAAGAGAAAAATATTGTACTGTGGCTGATAAGTTCAAGCGAACGGGGCGCTGAACTTGAGTTTGATTTCATGTATGTTCAATTCGTGATGCGAGAGCTTGATTTGGAGCTATATTGGTTCAAATTTTTAACCCAAACAAATGCTCGACATGGTGGTGCTATCGCCAGGGAAATCCCTCCCAAGGCCATGTTCGGGTTCACAAGGATTAAATCCCAAAGCTGAAATTTTCCATCCCCGAATAGGTGAATCGGTGTGCTATCACTTGATCCCTGTAGGGGTTTAATCCACAGTCAGTTTTACCCCATGCTATCACTTGACCACCACCACGAATGGCCTACTATTAGATGTGAGTGTTTTATAGGTTGGGTCGGAAAAAATTAGGTCCTCTATGCCCATGGTCATCCCACATGTCGCATTGAGACGATTTTTTCAGTCTGGGTCTAGGCGTCTAAGCAGATTGTATGCTAGTTTAGTATGAAAATAATTCAAATACACACATCGGGTCGAAAAATGTTTGTATTTTGCTGTCCATACCTTGATCATCAAACACTAGGATCTGACTAGACCTAAATTGCTCAAGTCTACTCCCTGTCTCAAGACGGTCACCTTGGCATCCAAAAAAATGTCCCGCAAAAGAGTTGTTTTAGACTCTGGGCCCAGTTCGAGGAGGCTGCAGGCCTACGGCCATTATCTCAGCATCCACATCTTCCGACGCACCACCATGGCCACGCCCATCTTCCTCTTCTCTTTCATGTGTGGTGCCCATCTTTCTTTCTTTTCCACGTGCGGCGCCGAGAGGAAGGTTGACAGCGTCGAGCTGGAGCACGCCAACATCGGTGCGGATCGGAGCAGAGCGGGCCCTACCCTCCGCCCGCCGAGATGCATGGGTAGCCATCGCCGAGATCGACGTGGAGGCCGCGGCCCGACTTCATCTTCTCCTCCACCCCCTTCAGAAGTCCCCTCCCCCCCTTCTCTCCACTGGTGAGTCCGCCCCACCTTCATCTTCTCCTCCACCGCCCTCCCCATCTCCATCGCGTGAGGCCGACGAGGCAGGCGGGCTCGTGTGGTCTTCTCCATGGTGGGCGTGGCGGAATTTTGGCATAGCTACGCTCGATGATGTCTGCCACTGCTGTCGCTTTACGCCGGGGGAGCCTGGTGGAGAGGCAAATCGGACATGTACTCCTAGGGCGACAATGTTGCTACGACACCATGAGACGCCCGCAAACGCGCAGGGGACGAGACGGTGGAGTGCTATAGCCACTGCTAGAGTGAAGGAGGTGTGACGGGAAAGAAGACATGAGGAAAGGGAAGTAGACAACATGGGGGTATGTAGGTCTTTTGGTCTTCTCCTTGGTTCGCGCATCCACTCTTAAATTGACCGTCTTTTTGAATAGAGTGAGTGCATAGGAGACCAAATTCCATAACATAGAGTTGATACATACTATGGCCCTGTTTGGTTTCTACAGACGCTCCTAAAATTTCTGTCATATCAAATGTTTAGACACATACATGGAGTATTAAATATAGACTAATTACGAAACTAATTACACAACTTGCGACTAATTTACGAGATAAATCTTTTAAGCCTAATTAGTCCATGATTTGGGAAGCTAAGTAACATGTGCTAATGGGATATTAATTAGGCTTAGGGGTATGTAGCAAATTAGTCTCCATCTATGTAATTTGTTTTGTAATTAATCTATATTTAATACTTTTTATTAGTATCTAAACATTCGATGTGACATAAAATTTAAGGAGCGACTAAAGAACCAAACACCCCGTATGTCTAAAAAAACATATGAATTGGTACATTCCTTTTTGTTAGTGGAAGAACAACCAACCCCACGCACAATTCAAACTCACTCGAGAACACAATATCAGGGCCCTTGTTTAGTTCGTGAAAACTTTTCCCAAAAAGTGCTACAGTAGCCATTACATCGAATCTTGCGATACGTGCATGGAGCATTAAATGTAGACGAAAAAAAAAAAACTACATACATACTATGATCTGAAAAAAACATATGAATTGGTACATTTCAATAATTGAATATTAAAGGCCAAATAAAACCGAAAAACGCACAGAAGCTAAACTCAACTTTCACCCAACTCAACATGGGCAGGGCTACGCTACAGATCTCAGCATTCAAATCTTGAACCTAGACTAACATCTCCCAGACTCCCACCACCAAATTCAAATCCTCGCCTTGCCGGGGCTTCCACGGAGACGTGACGATCCACTTGAGCCCGTCGTCCGCTCCCGTATTTAAACGCCCACGAACGAACCGAGCCCCACATGCCCGCCGCAGCTGCGCGGCGCGTGCGCCATCCGAAACCAGCCGCGCCCACCTCCACTCGAATTCAAAATCAAAAAAAGAAAAACCCCGCAGCCATAAATCCCCCACGCGATCCCCTCCCGTCCCAATCCATTTCAAAACCGCGCAGGAGCTTCGCGTCTCTTCCTCCCTCCCCCGCTCTGCTCCGCTCCGCTCCAAACCCTAGGCGGCGCCCCCCGGAGCCCGGAGCTCGGATCCCGCGTCCCGCTCCCCCGGCGCCTCCGCCCGTCGCCTGCTCCCCCGATGGACCCCGCGGGGCCGCGCGTGGTCACGGATCCCGCCGGATCGGGGGCCGCGCCGCCGCGCGAGGTCGGTGGGCCCGCCCGCGCTCTTCGTCCTTGCTCTGAGGCTTCGGAGGCTGTGATGCGCTGACGCGGTTTCCGTGCCTGTTCGCGCAGGAATTGGACGGGAGAGGAGGAGGAGGAGCGTGCAGCGGCGCCGCAGCGGCGGAGGGGAGCGCGTCGCGGCTGGCGGGCGCTGGACTGGGAGGTGAGGCCACCGCATTTCGTGATGTTTCTCGCGCTTTCGTCCCGATCCGTGCTTGCCCCCATGGGGCTTTTAAATCAGAATGAACTGGAGGAGAATCTGGTGTCGTTGGTTGGGGCTGTCGTTGTTCCTGAATTCTAAGCAGTTCCGCGCTCGCTAGTCGCACGAGAATTCGAGAATGTCACGGTGCGGTGCCATAGTTCTATGCGCAACAGATCTAAGCGCGGCAGTACACCCACGTTTCCCTCTAGAATTTTCGTGAATCTGTAGCTGGTATCTGTTGGCTGTAGCTTTCATTTAGCGCTGTTATTAGTGAACAGCATGAACTCACACCCTCTCGGTGGCAAGCCATTCTAATTTTCAGTAGTTAGATGTGTAAGATGCATGCTTCGGAGAATTGTGTTCTTACAATTTGATTTGTTGTCTTACAAACAGCGAGGTCTTGCTGGAGTGATTGGAGCCTCTATTAAGATTCTTCCCATTTTTTAAAATCTTGAGGGCTGGTTGCAAACTCTTCAGCACCTCAATAAGATGAAATTTGGTTGCAGCACACTCTTTTTAGCAGTCCAACAGTAACTGAAAACTCACATCTATTACATATTATTCAAGTTTCAACTAGTAAGAACTCGGTCTACACTCACAGTATTGGAACACTGTTGTGCACTCCCCGTGTCATAATATCTCTATGAATCGAATTTGAAATGGAAAATTCTTGTTTCTTTTGTCTGATAAATCATTTGTTTTTACTTTGTGCTCAAATAACTTCATCCTGTAGATCCGAGGGCTGGATTTCTGGAATCTTTGGGTCAAGCTGAAGCATATTTGCACCCATATACCATGGATGTTCCTCAGTTGACTGCTGAAGGTGCCACACAATGTGGAGATAGAGTGTCTTTATTGCCCCAGACTGGGGCACTTCAGTCAGAAACTCCTTGTCTGACCTTGGGTCGTGATTCCAATGCAGCATTAATGGAGAAGTTGCATGGTAATGAGTCCTTGCCATGTGGTAAGGAGAACATCGGAACAGATCTCCAACCTAAACCTGATCCGGAACATGTTGATAATAAGATGAGTGTTGCACGTCTTGGGTTGGACCTTAACACAGTAGATAGTTCTGATGCAGCAGATCTTAACCCTTTCTTCCCTTACAAGAAGCTGGGGCAGTCGAAAGTCAGTGATCCATCAGAATGTGGCAGCACTACTGGTGCTACAGAAGAAAGCGAATCACACAGAAAGTGGAGAGAAATGAAGCAGAATGGCTTTCTTTCTTCATCTCATGGAAGTGCAATGGTGCCTAGGCCACATGGTCGAGCCTCAAAAAGGAAAAGGGATGATGAATTCAAAAAGAGCACTTCTACACAGCATGGCCAGGCTAACAAGTCTATGAAGGTTGCTGCTCCTAGTGGCCTATTATCTGGGCTAAACCCTGGAATCATTAACCATGTGAGAAATAGCAAGCAGGTGTACTCCATAATAAAGGCTATGGTACACTCTGAGAGGCTTGAGAATGAGAACCAGCCTGCCTTTACTAGTCAAATCAGGTGAAAAGAGGGAGAGAAGTTAGTGAGAGAATTCAGGATCAGAAATATGGTGGTGGTTTCATGAAGTGCCATTCGTTGATGAAAGATAATAATGTGGTGTTTCACCAAACACTGCCTACCACATTGCATTTCCTTCCACAGGATGGTGATAGTCTCAAACTGCAACTCTCATCAGCAGTCACTATGTTTTCAGATAGGACCTGCAGTACATCAGCTGATGATCCAGCATCTAATCATGATTACATGACTGTACTGTCAGTAAAAGGTATCCTTCCAAACCATTTTGTGTAAATTTGCACTGGGTACTACTTCTGGAAATATCTCTCATAGTTTTCTTACTACTCTGATGATCAGCGGCCAGTGTTGCTTCTCAGTGGTTGGAATTACTGCATCAAGACATCAGGGGGCGCCTTGCTGGTATAATTATGAAATCTGACGTAAATGAGAAAATTGTATTCATGCATTTTACTCAATACATTTTTTGTTTTTCTTGAAGCTTTAAAGCGCAGCAGGAAGAGAGTCAGAAATGCTCTTCACACGGAACTGCCATACCTAATCTTGACAGAATTTCCATCTAATCAAGAGAATGAATCATCCATTGCAAATACTTCTGAGGCTGGATGTACTGACAAAGCAGTTTCAGAAGAGCATATGGCACGATGGAGGTCTCTGTTTGTCCAGATGGACAGAGCACTTCAGGAGGAAGGGAAACAACTGGTGAGTTTACTGATTGGATTAGTTTGTGTTATATAGGAAAGGGCTATGCCATCCGTCAATGTTCGTGTTTGTATATAGCTCTATTTATATTGCTTGTATAACACGCATCGCGTTTATGCTCATAGAGTATGTATATACACTATACACCTGAGTACCTGACTGCTTTGTACTTGTTGCAGGAGAAGCGGTTGAAGCAAGTGCAAGAAATGCAATTGAATTGTGATAAAGGCCTCAAACACATGACCTGTGAATCTCCTCTGCTAGGACCTATGGCTGAACTATGGTTAGTTCATCATGACATTTGACCAAAAATGGTTTACCTTTCCTTGTTTTATTCATTCCACTTAATGCTTGAGCAAGTGTCTAACTGAAATATGTCAACATGTCTCTTCAGGAAGCTGAAGAACCCAGATATTTCTGAGAGCGAGTGGGCGGTGCAAGCCGCTGCCGCATCAATCTACTCGACCTGCAACATGGTCATGAGAGCGGAGAACAACGTGCCTTGCTTCTGATCTCACACTTCTAGTTTAGTTTCTTGCTTTGCTGTTTTTTACCTCAAAATTAGGTCTCCTTTCTTACCTTTAGCCTTTATGAATTGTGATCCCTTGTCCATTACAGTAGTGGCGAGTGATGTAACAAGAAGAAACCTGCGATGTATGTTGTCCCCAGCCTACAATTTCACAGGCCCGTGAAATAACACATTCTTTTCATGGAGTTCAGAATCTTCAGATCCTACCGTTTTGGTTCGGTCAGAGGGTTGAGATAGCGATTGCTATTTTGTCCAATGTTGAACTGGCACGGTCGATGTTCTGATTGGATGATTACACGAGCTGTTTGGTTCTACTGTTGGTAACGCAAATGTAAATGATTTAAAGCTGCGGATGTTACCGGTGGGAGATACAATTGAACAAATTTTCTTTACATTTGCATTGCTGTCGAAGCCCCGAGATATGATTGAACAAAATTTCTTTACATTTGCGTTGCTGTGGAACCAACCAAACAGCACGTTAGAGTGAAGTGAGGTGTGCTTGTGAAGACTGAAGACTTGAACATCTTCATCCGACTGATTATGCGCAAGCAGCCTGCCAGTACAAATGATAACCAAACGGGGAGGAAAAAAAAGGAAAACTCGGAGCAGATGACTAACATTCCGGCCCCACCTAGTAGTGTCAGTGGACCGGGCCGTTGACCCCACCGCGCGCCCACCGGGCAGCCAGGCCGGGCCGGTTTAAACCTATCGGCCGCTGCGCACCTCGCCGGCCGCCACCCTCCCATGTCCTCCTCCCCCTGCGCCGCCAACCTGCTCGCGCTCCTCCGCCGCAACGCCGCCTCCCCGTCCGTCGCGCTCCAACTCTTCCTCCACCTCTCCTCCGCGGCCTGCCCTCCCCCGCCGCGCTCCACGTCCTTCCTCGCCCGCCTCGTCGCCGCGCACCCCGCCGCCGACGCGCTCCTCCCGCGCCTCCACCGCCACATCCTCTCCTTCCCTAATCCCTCCTCCCACCTCATCGCGCTCCTCTCCTGCTCTGACATCCTCCCGCTGCGCCTCGCCATCCCCGCCTTCCGCTCCCTCCGCGCGCTCGCGTCCGCGCCGCCGCCGCCCACCCCCGTCTACAACCGCCTCATTCTCGCCGCGCTCCGCGAGTCCCGCCTCGACCTTGTCGAGGCGCTCTACAAGGACCTGCTCCTCGCCGGCGCCCAGCCGGACGTCTTCACTCGCAACCTCCTGCTCCAGGCGCTCTGTGACGCCGGCCGCATGGAGCTTGCCCAGAGGGTGTTCGACGCAATGCCCGCCAGGAATGAGTTCAGTTTTGGGATCCTGGCGCGAGGGTACTGCCGTGCGGGGAGGAGCATTGATGCTCTCAAGGTACTCGACGGAATGCCGAGCATGAACCTGGTGGTTTGCAACACGGTGGTCGCAGGGTTCTGCAAGGAGGGCCTCGTGGAGGAGGCTGAGAGGCTGGTGGAAAGGATGCGTGTGCAGGGGCTGGCACCAAACGTTGTGACGTTCAATGCGAGGATCTCTGCACTCTGCAAGGCTGGGCGGGTGCTAGACGCTTACAGGATATTCAAGGACATGCAGGAGGATTGGCAGCATGGGCTGCCGAGGCCTGATCAGGTGACTTTTGATGTAATGTTGAGTGGGTTCTGTGATGCTGGGTTTGTTGATGAGGCACAGGTTCTAGTGGATATTATGAGGTGTGGTGGTTTCCTGAGGAGGGTTGAAAGTTACAACCGCTGGTTGTCAGGGTTGGTGAGGAATGGGAGGGTCGGCGGTGCGCAGGAGCTTCTGAGAGAGATGGCGCATGAAGGAATCCAGCCTAACAGCTACACATACAATATTATCGTCTCTGGGTTGTGCAAGGAGGGCAAGGCTTTTGATGTGAGGAGAGTAGAGAATTTCATTAGGAGTGGTGTGATGTCCCCAGATGTTGTGACTTACACTAGTTTGCTCCATGCCTATTGCTCAAAGGGCAACATTGCTGCCGCCAACAGGATTCTTGATGAGATGGCACAGAAAGGGTGTGCACCAAATTCATTTACTTATAATGTTCTGCTGCAGAGTCTTTGGAGAGCTGGTAGGACCACAGAGGTAGAACGGTTGTTAGAGAGGATGAGTGAGAAAGGATACAGTTTGGATACAGCAGGCTGCAATATTATTATTGATGGATTATGCAGGAATAGTAAATTAGATGTGGCTACGGGCATTGTTGATGGGATGTGGGAAGAAGGAAGCACAGCTCTTGGCCGACTGGGGAACTCGTTCCTTAGTGTAGTTAGTGATTCTTCCATCAGCCAAAGATGTCTTCCTGATTGTATCACATATTCTATTTTGATAAATGCATTGTGCAAAGAAGGCAGGTTTGATGAAGCCAAGAAGAAATTACTTGAGATGATAGCGAAAGATATTTCCCCTGATTCAGTTATATATGACACCTTTATTCACGGGTATTGTAAGCATGGAAAAACCTCTCTGGCTATTAAGGTTCTGAGGGACATGGAAAAGAAAGGTTGCAACCCAAACACAAGGACATACAACTTGTTGATTCGGGGATTTGAAGAAAAACATAAATCAGATGAAATCATGAAACTGATGAGTGAAATGAAGGAGAAAGGAATTTCTCCTAATGTGATGACCTACAATAGCTTGATAAAGTCCTTTTGTGAACGAGGAATGGTTAACAAGGCCATGCCTCTTTTGGATGAAATGCTAGAAAATGAATTAGTTCCTAATATAACTTCTTTTGACTTGTTGATCAAGGCTTTTTGCAAGATCACAGATTTCCCTTCAGTGCAGATGGTTTTTGATGCTGCTTTGAGAACATGTGGGCAGAAGGAAGTGCTCTATTGCTTAATGTGCACTGAACTCTCGACTTATGGTAAATGGATTGAAGCTAAGAACGTTCTAGAAATGGCACTTGAAATGAGGGTCTCTATCCAGAGTTTCCCGTATAAGCAGATAATTTCTGGGCTCTGTGAAGTTGAGGAGGTGGATCATGCACATAGCCTTCTCAAGTTGTTAATAGCTAAACGACATTTGTTTGATCCAGCAGCATTCATGCCAGTGATAGATGCATTAGGTGATAGGGGAAAGAAACAGGATGTTGATATGCTGTCAGCGAAAATGATGGAAATGGCTGACCGTAATGATGGTCTTGGAACTGATTCTGGTAGGATTACCCCTGGAAGCTGTAAGCATGAGCATGAAAGGAATGGTGAAAGTGATTGGCGTACTCTTTTGCACAGGTATCATCATGATCAACTTTCTTTTGCTATGTTTTTGGGATTCTTCTTTTGTTTATTTGATTTTATGTTTCTGCAACGCTTAGTGTATAACTTGCTGTTTCAAAATTTAAATAGGATATAATGTCAAAGAATATATTATGAGAACTGACAAAGACAAACTATTCTAGCAAGAAAATTAGTTCTTCACTTTTTTCCTTTGTTTCGTGTACTCGAGCTTCCAATTACTGACTACTATTTTTGATGTGCAGAGATGACAGTGCCCACACGATTATGAAAATTACAAAGAGAGTGAGGACAGGATGGGGTCAAAGAGGCAATGTATACGAGCATAAACAGCAACAGGGTGATGACTTTTATGTACTTGAGAACACTGGCTAAGTAAGTCACTCTTTACCCTGGACAGTAGACATGCATGGAAATTCTTTGAGCTTTCTTGTAACTAGCTCGGGTTGGAAACTTCCGAATGGTTAGCTGATCATATGAAGTTAATTGGAACACATGTATGCTCAGTGTAATTTAGTGTCAGATATTGATACGGCGCCGGTGGCGAGGGGTGTGCAGGGGAGAGTAGAGGAGCAGCTGCGATTGTGAGGAGGAGCGCAGAGGGTAGCGAAGCCAGTCATGGGTCTTGGTGGTGGCAAGGTCAGAGTTCCCTGTCGCCACAGTTGAAGGAAACCCCACGCCCGTGCCGGAGTTTATGGAGATGAAGCCAAACCCCCACCACGAATTCAACTGGACGCCTGCGCTTATTTTGATGCTCCTTCATAGTGTCCTGAACCAGCAGCAACCTCTCGCGTATTTCAGCGAGGAAGACGTCACGGTCCTGAAGCTGTTGGTCGACCGCAGCCACCTTGGCAGTACCCGGCGAGTAAGACAACAGATATACCCTTTTACACTCTGTAGTGTCAAAAAAGCATCATCTTGGACATTGACCTCTATCTCGGAAACATGGTTCTGGCCAACAATTATTTTTGCATTGTATTATAACATCTACTGAATTGCACTACTATGAAACTATTTTCAAGAAAAAAAAGTACTCCCTCCATTCCAAATTATAAGACGTTTTGTCTTTTCTAGATACATAGACTTTGCTATGCACTTAGATATACACTATGTCTAGATACATAGTTAAAACAATGCATCTAAAAAAACCAAAACATCTTATAATTTGAAACGGAGGGAGTACTTTTATGTTTTTAGTATGGCTGATCTTAACATTCATAATGTTTTCTTAGTCGAAGTTATCATAATTTGGTTGTATGAAACATGAAAAGGTATGGTTCTGTACTGGGAGAGGGTACCATCTAGGCAGCGACGTTTTCAGTGATGATCGTTGTTTGGTTTATGGTTGTCTTCTCAAATCATTTGAGAATGATGTAATGATATAATCAGTTTCGATGAGTAAATATACATGCCCTTGGCAAGTGTCTATGTAACTGCAGAGTCTGATTGAGTAAATTACATTATTTAATTACTAAGTTGGCCTGAATAATCTACTGACATGCCATGGATCTGTAATTTTATGATTGACTTGGAATGTTTGCTTATATGACAATAGTTTTGACTATATTGTTGCAGAGAATTGGATAACCATGTGGCATTTTTTTTTTTATTGTGCAGGTGTTATGTGATCGTATCAAACTGTTTAGTACTGCAGCGCTATAGTTCTGTGCTACCGTCTCAGACAGAGCTTTTGTTCTATCATGAATTCTTCATCACTGTTGGGAGCTCTGCTTATAACTGGTAAGTTTATGTGCTATCTGGAATTCATCCTTCAGGAAAGAAATGCACTAGTTGTTGGTACTCACTACTGAGTGCTGACTTGGCCAGTCAGCCACCATTTCACAAGTCAAAGATCATATTTCTCAAGTTATTTTAATTTTTTAGCATGCTAGTTTATGCATACTCGAAAAAATTAGTGATTATGTTTGCATACATTTGGCACTTAGATCATCGTTTATGTTTTATAATCTTTTTCTAAAAAGCTTTTTTTTCAAATTGCATTTGAATTGCGCTATATTTAGATTGTCTTACCAGTTTACTATTGATAAACATTTCTCGTGTCATTTGAATTGAAACTAGGCTATATTTAGATTAGTCTTACCAGTTTAGGCCTCTATAAAATATTTATAAAATATGATAATCAGGCATTACATCACTTTCATATTTTCTCAACCCAAAAGAAGTTATTTGTGTCATTTGAATTTATGCTAGGCTATATGTAGATTAGTTTTGCCGGTTTAGGCCTCTATTGATCATCAGACATTAAATCTCTGCAGTATTCTGAAATGTGAATGGTTGCGCTTTTGAAAATGTACATAGAAAAGTTCCATCCATGCAGCCTAAGTTCATTGCGTCTGAACGATTCATTTCCTGCTCGTTGGTGTACAGAGATTCGCTGTAGAACTAAATGAAAGGATAAATGTTGTACAGAGCTGCACACCCCATTGATGTTGTGCCAGATCAGGAATTCGGTGAGTATCACTGACCTAATTTGAGGAGCCAATAATTTTGTTTTGTATATTTTTCCTTTCTTAGACTTTCATACCAAGTACGTGAGCTGTTGACAGGTAAATGCAGATAAATGGACTTACTGTGATGAAAAGTACAACTCACGATATTTACACCAGAAAGCAGCAGGGTAGGCACAGAGATATTTCTAGTGCTACTCTTTCCACTCTTTATAACTAGACTCGGTCTCCCTGGTGCCATCTACCCCAGTCCCAACCCAATCCACCGAATAACTATAGGCTGCTTTGTTCCCTTCCCTTTGTTGATAGGTACTGAACCTTATTCTGTGGTAGCTTGGTACGGTTTTCTGTGTTTTTGCCCACCAGCTACACACTGCTAGTCTTTCTTATCAATGAAGTCGGCATTAGGTGTACTACTACTTTAGTTCGATACTTGTGATCCATGCGGTAGCTTGTTAGTTTGTGAGAAACAAACAACTCAACTTCTCTAGGTCCTCTCCTCGTGGTATGGCTGCTAATGCCTCTGCCGCTTATTGCTGGGCTCAGATTCCAGGACCATCTAAAGACCACAAAGGCACAAACCAACTTCTTTTCCACCTCTCCTACGACTTTTCTACAATTAGCTATGCTTACACGTGCTTGTTTGGCCGTAGGAGAAGCCTCAAGAAGGCAAAGGACGACGGGGAACGCGAGCTCGGCAGATTTGGGCATGGACATCGCTGGGCTCCCTTCTGACATCCTTGTGGAGGTGATGGCTAACATCGCGACAAGGTCTTCGACTCCCCTCAACGACATCGTCAACCTCAGGCAATCGTAAGTCATCCCATTTCTGAATTCTGATCTTCTCTTTGGTTCTGTCTGCTTGGCTGCCGCCATCGCCATGAGAAATACAGTGACCTAACCTTGAGTTGGTGGGCCTGCGTGGCTGCGTGTGAAGGTGTAAGCTGTTCCGTGATGCGACGGCGGCGAGGGAGGTCGGGCGGTGCATGGCCGTTCAGAGAGAGTGGAGGCTGCACTGGTGGGACAAGACGAGGTTCCTGTCCGTGCTTCGGCGGTGCGCCGCGAGCGGCAACCCTGAGGCATCCTACATCCTTGGATTGATAACGTCCGGAACACAAATTCAAGCAGAGAATCGCATCGGCAGCGTGTACTGAATGTTAGCTTCTCATCTGCCAGGAGCTGTTCTGCAACCGGAGGAGAAAAGCCAGGGGGCTCCGGAACCTCCGACGTGCCATGGAGCATGGCCACGCCGCTGCGGCCTACATGATCGGGATGATCACGTTGCACCAGTCGCGCTCGCCGGGCTGCACCGAGCAGGCGCTGGACCGGTTGTCTGCGTCTGCATCCGCTGGCACCTGGACAAGGCGCAGGGTCGCCTCCGTTCGCAGGGAGGCCTTGTCGGTCATGCGAAGGCTGACGATGCGTCGGTGGAGGATGGCCGAGCCTCCGACGCCCTGCTCGAATCCGTGGTGCGGCAAGGCGGAGACGGGGTCGGTGGAGGTCTGGGACGACGGCGACGACGGGGAGAGGAGGTTTTGCAGCCGGACGTGTTGGTGGAAACACGAGTATTGTAAATTCATTCAGAAGCTTTGAGATAGTGTAGCAGGGATATTTAGGATGGAGAGAGTATTGTTATCAATTGTTCATTTTTTTTTGTTCTTTCGATAAATACATATGGTAATTTTTGGCGACATGCATGGTAACTTGCTCCTCAAAAAAGGATAGAAAGGTCTGGAAGAATGATAGAGAGAAGTGCACTTTCCATACCTGCAAGGACACGCCGCACGCGTCCATGCTTACCTAAAATGCATTTTCAGATGATTTTTTTATTTGAAAGGGAGAGTCACAGTACAGAAATTTGAGTGAGATCATTCCAGTTAATGTTTTGCAGAGCCATCTTAAGAGCATCTCCACCAGTTTTCTAATAATCTATCTATCTATTGGGTAGCCTAATATATATAATATTATTTTTACACGTTTCTGGATGTCTTGCCTGAATTATGGCTTTTGTTCAGGCGACTAGCGTCTGTCCATTATTCTTCAATCCGTGCGGCATCAAACTTGTTTAGGGCCCGTTCGTTTAGGGCGATATGACACCAGAAATTATTCCAGCTAATGAAAATTTATATAAATTAACTAACGATTCCATTTGAGAATTCTTCCTGGGGTCATTCCGGAGGAAGCGAACGGGCCCTTATTGGGTTCGATTGCATGTAGATGTGATCCATTACAAGCTAACCTAGTTACACACTTCAGGCCCGGACAAATTATTGGGTGAATTGTTAATTGTTCTTGTACCAACATAAAATCAGATTTTTTCCTTGTCTGACTATTGTCTTTGTGTCAACTCATACCAATTTTTTGTCCTTATTGACTATATAAAAAATTATAATTTGTTAATTGTATTTGTGTGAATATATTTTATTTTTTGTCCTTGTTTGACTATAGAAATAATTGTAAATTGTTAATTGTCCTTGTGACAACATAGATATGATATCTGTCCTTGTTTAACTATAGAACAAATGTAATTCATTTTTTTTTGTCTCTATGTCAATACATATCAGATTCGTGACATATCAGATTCTTATCATTGCTTAGCTATAGAAAGAATTGTCATTTGTTCAGATTTTTGTGATTGCTTGTTTGTATGTGTTTTTGTGTGTTAGTGAAAGAGGCAAAGCCCAAATTAATATGAAAAATAGGCCCATATCTATTCACCCGATAAAACCTCCAACAAGCTTTAACATGTATTTTTTTTTCAGACCGGTTAAGGAGCATTCTATGCTCCGGTGTTTTGACTGCTTGTGAACATAAACTAGTGCAAACAGATTGTGGCTGTTGGTTGTTAATTTAGTGGCCGCTAGCCGTCGCTCTGAAAATAAGTTATATTTCAGACACTTGAAATATAACATGTCCCTTATTTTAAGGGATAATGAAGGAGTTGTTGCAACAGTACCTCAATGTAACTCTCCCAATACTTATATGGAAGGTGGGTCCCACAAGAGCGTAGGGAGAAAAGATGCTTGAAAATGGTAATTGAGATGATTACTATGGTATTAGGGGATGTAGCTCTCCCTTTATTTGAGAAAAATGAGCAAAATATTAGTATCCAAAAAAAGAAGGGATATATTTATGGAGAGATGAGAAAAATATTAGTGCAAAAAAAAGAGATATTAGAAAACTGTTGAAGAAAAAGCATATAGTTGCCCTGGAAAGGTATCAAGGTACTGCTGGAGATGCTTTAACATTACAACTTAGTAGATGAGCTATTTAACATCACAACTTAGTAGATGAGCTAGGGACTCACAAGAATACTGGCAAAAGCTAGAGATTGTCGTCCGTCTTGACAATTTTGTGAGTTTATACGAGGTTTTGTTTGTCTCCCTTCTGATCTTGATCACCAAATAACTTGTCCAGCTTCTGCTTCGCTCAATTTCTGCAAGAATTGGCCGGACCTGGAGCTTGGCGACAAGAGGCAGAAAGGAAAAGGATTTGTACTGCATCCGAGGGAAATAGGAGCAACTGTCTTCCGATCCGACTAGGAGGTCGTCTCCCCACTGTCATCTGAGGAAAATAAGAATGTTGTGGCTAGTGGACGTGGACCATGTGTGTGGACTCATCGGCCTTCCCCAGCTTAGCTGATGGATCTGTCTGCCTCCCTCCTCTGTCTCTGACTCTGCGTATCGGCAGCCTGTTCGGGAGGCCGTATCGTATCGTGGATTATTTACTGTTAACTGGTTCTGTGTGAGAGAAAAACACTGTTCCCGGCTGAAAATTTACGATCGTTTACGAGCAAGCGAACAGGCTGCGGGTGGGTAGCAGGGTAGGCTGTCCCTCTGCCTATGTACTGGCGTTGGTGACCCGTCCGGAGCCCCGGAGGCTTGACCTCATCGACTGCGACTCGGGGAGAGGTTGAAGCTAGCCGTGAACATGAGCGAGTCTGCAACTGCTATGTCAGCAATTGCATTCAACAAGTAGTAAAAGCACTGTGTTTTGGTGATTAATAATTGTTGGGGTACCTTTTGTAAGTATATGGGCTATTTCTTTTTTGCGTATTTTTCATTTAGATCATGTATATTATTCGTCCCAACTAAAAACAATCTCTGCCTCCGCCGCTGCAGGCAGCTACATAACCTATATCTTCTTTCATGTTGGGCCAATAAAAGAGAAGTTTGATCTTGTGTTATCTTAAACGGCAATGACTGCATTGTGGCCTCCAATGTCATTGCTGTGCTGAGCCAAACAAGGCACAACTTGATGTGCCTCTTTTTGAATGCCTAACTAGCTATTGTGGCATACTTAATGTATACCCTTTGTCGTTTGAACCTTGAAGGATGAAGTTCATTGAGAGATAACTAGACCTAAGCATCTTGCGGGCTGGATTGGGTCGAAAAGAAGACCGATTATTTCGGACCAAAATAATCCCACCCATGTCTCATTGGGCGAGTCGGCCCTCTTTTTTTTGGGCTAGGCCTCAGCGGGCCGTCCACATATTTTATAGTGTAAAATAGCCAAAATAAACATTTCAGGCCGGGCTTGCGCTGAGAATTATTTTTCCTGTGTAGCGAGATCTGTGTCCGTGCTCTGTCCACTAAGGTCCATGGGCGGGCCAAAACCTAGCGGGCTCGGGCTGAGCCAGGCTCAATTTGCTCTGGTCTAGATATAACCTTAAAAAAAATCCACATTACCTCTCTCAACTTTTGCGAAAGTCTGCTTTTTCTCCCTAAACTCTAAAACCGGGTAAATCACCTTCATGAACTTTTAAAATCGTTCGTTTTACCTCCCTGACCAAGGTTTTTAAAGGCGGTTTTGTCATTTTCTTTTTTATTTATTTCAGCTGAAGCTTTGAAAAATCATAATAAATCACAGAAAAATCATAAAATGGAAAATCCAATTTTATTGGACTCCACATGAGTAGATCTACACAATTAACATATAATATGGTATGCTTTAGTATAAAATTTTTTATTGTAGCTTTAAATCTATGTTTTTCTATAATTAATTTATAGCTGCAGTTTATATGGTCTAATTATGGTAAAATTTTTATGATGGGCTAATTGTTGTTTGCTTGAACCGTAGTAAAAATTTTATACTCATTGGATCATGTATAACTTATTTATTGATTTATTTAGGTGTATGCTTTTCCATTTTATGATTTTTCTGTGATTTACTATGATTTTTTAACGATCCAGCCAAAATAAATAAAAAAGAAAGAGATAAAACCGTCTTTAAAAACCGCTTATAACCGGTCAGGGAGGTAAAACGAACGACTTTAAAAGTTCAAGGAGGTAGTTTACCCGATTTTAGAGTTTAGGGAGGAAAAATAGAATTTCACAAAAATTAAGAGGTAATGTGGACTTTTTTCTATAACCTTCGTCAATAATAATTTCCAACCACCCTGGTATGGCAGTGGATACAACACGAAGGTCATTAGGTATGACTTGTCTAGATTACTAGATAGAGCATCAATACCCTTGTTATCAGGTCTCTTTCTATCAATTATCCTGCATTATTGCAGGTCGTTAATTTAATAAAATACCTGTGTTGCAGATCTTGATGTACCTTTTGCTCTACCAAATGAGGGACCTTTTGTGGTTAGTGAGGATGGTGAATTTTGTGCCGGTGAAAGGATGGGATGCCTAGGAGGCGTTGAACTAAGCTCTAAAAAAACAGAAATTCTTCGTCGTTCGTCCCATGCCCGGACAAACGGACGCTACGTGGCCTCACGTGGTCCACATATTTTTCCACCACACAAATATCTATTCTGGCTAGATTTATCCTCTTTGGTTCTCTCTCTCTCTCTCTCTCTCTCTCTCTCTCTCTCCATCGTGGAGTCAGTGACTCTCCTCCCCATCTCGAACTCGTGTGCTTGCCAGCCAGGGGGTGCTTGCTAGCTGCTGGCGCAATAGGTGGTGCTTGTGCTCGCCAGGCAGGAGGTGCTCATCGGTTGCTGGCCGCTTGCCAGGGGTGCTGCAAGTTCAAGGAGTACAAGCAGGACAGGATGGGCACATTCGTGCGGGAGTTGAAGGCAGTGTTTCCGACCGTGGAGCAGGTGTATGTATGGCACCCGATGTGGGTACTGGGCGACCTTTGCCGGCCCTGGCGCCGCCGCCGCCAAGGTGGTGGTGTGCTAGGGGGGGCTCGAGAGCGGCCTCCGTGCTTTCGCTGATTGCTCGCGCAGTGCTCGCTAGCGCTTTGCTCTCGTGGCCTCGCGCAAGTGCTCGCCCGCAGCGACCTTAAGCTTAAGCCGCGACGCACGCTGCCTCCGCTAGGGCACCAGTGACCTCCATGCGCCGCCGCTGACCTCTACACTAACGTCGATCTCTGCAACGATGAGCCTCCATTCGTCTAAGCAACAAGATGATATTGCGCTAGAAAGCGCATGTTGCAAATGTATGTTTCAAGTGTTTCAGAGGTTTGTCGCAAGGTTTCACAACGATGTTGTAAAAGTAGATCTGGATGTTGCATATAGAGTAAATTGCACCGTAGGTCCTTAAATATTTGGTAGATTCCTATCTGGGTCTTCGAGCTAAAAATAGTACTATTTGGGTTGTGGATCTATTTGTCCCGTGCACCAACAGTCGAAAATACTCCACGCGTGCACCAGGAGCCCACGTGGACATGCCACCGTGGATCTTTCTTGCATGGATCTTCAAACGCACACACGCATGCGTACCGGGCACAGGTGCATACACCATGCATGTACGTCGGCTTCGGATCGTTCACGTGCGCGCCCAGGAGCCACATTGCAAGCTCCGCCTCCGGTCTTTGCGCGCGTACAGCAGCCACGTCTGGTCGTATACATCTGCATGAATGCTGCAGTTGTTGCTAGTTTCTTCCATTTAGCATATCGTGAACACGCTTACGATCTTAAAAGTCAATAGCATTGGTGTGAATGCTGCATGTCGCCGGGATACTTCATGGACAGGAATAACCTAGTGATGGCAGATGTGGAGTGCATATGTGAGGCAAATGTAAGGAATCACACCACGGCGACGGCGACGGCGACGGCTGCCGGTGCACCTGCGTTCGAAATCCGAATCGTGTCTTCCAACAGTAAGACGAGAGGTGTTTTGCGATTACTTTAAGGGCTTATTAGGGTGCGGATGTCCGGACGCTTGTGCTTGCAGTAATTTTTTTTGCGCTGTTTAACACGTCTGTGCCGCCGTGAATGTCACCAGCATCGAGAAGAGAGGGAGAAGATAGATGTGCAGCCAGCGTCACGAGAAGGAGGGGACACCGAGACGAGGCAGCAGAAGGCGAGGAGAGGAAGGTGCAATACCCGATCTATTTTTAAAACATTCAAATACAACACTTGCAACATATGTCTGAAGGTTGATGAAACACTTTAAACATGCATCTGAAACACTCGAAAAAACACATAAAAAACAAAACCATTGCAAAAAGCATAAGCAACATCCAAGATAAAACACTTGCAAACATATGCAACATCTAGATAAGCACACTTGCAATATATATCTGAAAAATTAGATGAAACATTGGAACAAAAACTTGCAACATACGTGTACAACCATTGCAACATCCATATGAAACACTTGCAACGTACCTCTAAAATATCTGAAACACTTGAAAACAGACGCTTGCAACATGCGCTTTCAAGCGCAACATATACTTGTTGCTTGGACGAAAATAGAGGCTCGTCGACGCGGAGTTCGGCGCCGGCATGGAGCTCGATGTTACAAAGTGGCGCGGAGGTTGTCGGTGGCACGGACCTTGGCAAGGGCACAACAGGCAGATGGAGCACGACCGCAACGGGAGGCGTGGGTACGGGCGGCGGCGGCACAGGAGTGGGTGAGATCTGCCCCGCGAGCAGGGGCGTGCAACGCGAGCGGGGGCGGTGCGAGGGAGGGCAGGATCCGTCCCGCGAGCAGGGGCGCGCAGTGAGCAGACGCCGCAGAGCGAGTGGGCGATGCGGATGAAGGCGGCACAGGCAGGGTCCATTTTGCAAGCGGGCGACTCGGGTGGGGTCCGTCTGGACGGATGGACGACCGAGCTAGAGCATTAATGTTACTTTTACCGAGCAATGCTTGCTCAATAATAACAACAAATGCAAATTAGAATTAGTATTATGTAATAACCCTCCCTATGATGGGTCTGGCTCCACATGTCAGTAACATCATCACCCTACCCATAATTGAAAGCCATTATTCGCAGTATTACAGAGTGATTGATAATTTACATGGCAATGTGTTAGATGCATCACATTAATAATCACCTCCTTAGCATTAATGAAAAATTTAAGCTTGTTTTGAAGTCTTTTAAATCTTACTTCGCATTAAAAACTTTGAGCACACACTTTGTTAAGGATCTTTAGATTTTACTTAGAACGCGTATGTTCCGAACCAATGATTTGGATGATTTCTCCATATATTTTTTTGAAACAATCTTTACTTAACCGAAAATTCAAATATAGCACTCTAAGAAGATTTTTAATTTTAAAACTACAAAAGTTATGATGCTAGATCCAAAAAAGACTTATGATTGATTTTTAACATCTAGTTGAAGAACAATAAGATTTTTGAGGTGCTTAGGTCCTCCCTTTGGATGGACAAGAAAAAATAGCTTAATAAACACTCAAATATAGCATTCCGTGAAGAATTTTAGTTTCAAAACTACAAAATGTATGATACTAGATCCAAACAAAATGGGTCGCTCTCGATTTTAAGCATCCACGTAAATAAAATAAATCAAAACATTTTTTAAGGTTTATAGGTCTTTTGTTTTGGATCGACAACAGAAGTATGAATTATGCCAACTAGCATGGCGTGCAATTGCTATGTTAGCGGCGCACAAGGAAAGTACTCTTGACGATACCAGTGTATATTGTATATATCTTAGTCACACTAATATATATCGTGTGACTATAGTGATGAGTCGCGCAAAAACTTTTGGTGTTGGCACGACTCTTTTGAGGGGCTCCTCCAGAGGAGCTAGAGCCAGTGGCTCCTCCAAAACGGCTTCGGCTCCTCCGTTTTTTACTGAAATAAAGCTTCTCCAGGAAAACGTTTGGTAGGGCTCTCTCTCAGGAGCGAGAGCTGAAGCTAGGAAGGAGCCATGCCAAACCGGCCAAATGAGTCAATTCATGATAATTTATTTTGGGCCATACTTTTTTCAAAATATAAGTATTTTTGACTTGTTTTTTAAAAAATCCTTAGGATTATTTGTCTTGTTTCTAAAAGTTTACTAACGTGCACTGGTTTTAATGGTTAAGGGGCTAAGATTAGATACCAGCAAAGTTTAAGGGTTATACAGATTTTTTCGGCTCACACTTGCAATGGCCGCCGCCGCCGCCGCCGCCGTGTCCGCTCCCCGGCGGCAATGGCGGTACACGTGGGAAGCCCTAGCCCACCTCCCCCTCCTCCGCCTATACCTCTTCCCCCGCCCCGCACTCTCCTCCCCCTTCCCCTCCGACCTCCGCGCCGACCTCCGACTCCAGGGTTCCCTCCTCCACCTCTCATTCTCGCTGCCCGGGGATGGTGCCGCCGTCGCGCTCAGGGTCCCCGTCCCGAAGGTGCTCGTCGACCCCTCCGCCCCCGTCGACTGCCGTGCCGCCGCCGCGGGGGACCACCTCGAGCTCCGCCTCGTGCTCGTCCTGCCCGTCGACCACCCCGTCGTCGCCGCCGCGTTCCCCCCGCCCGCCGGCGCGGAGCCTCCGGCTTCTCTAGCGCTGCGCGATGGTCAGTCATTCCTATGCTGTCTCTCCGTTTGAAATTAGGCTTGGCAAAATGTTCGTTTTGTATCTGTTTTTTCAGATGAAACTGAATATGCATTTTTATGATTTGTTGTCATCAATAAACAGATTTGAAGAGTTTATCTACTGGAGACGTTCACTTGTATTGCAAAAGTTGTTCGTCAAGGTTGACAAAACAGCCACTAAGGTATAGAGCATTCGTGCCTTGTCACCTCCAGTTGTATTGCACTTTGTTGTAATCTTCAGTAGCTAGTTTATGCGTAGCATGTGTATCCAGTGGATATTTGTAGAAACCTGTCCTGCTTAAATCATATTTATGGCACATATGACTAGTGGTTCACACTTGGCACCACTAGACAATGTCATTCCATTTAATCTGCACATTTATTGCATCAGTCATTAAGCGAAAATTGAAATGGTATATCGTTAGGTCTTGTGGCATTTCACCTCAGCGTACTTCTAGCTTAAAGTGAAGTGGCTGTTTTTCCCCAATTTTTGGTCAAGTTAAACAACTTCCCACTGTTCACAGCTTCTGTGCAACCAATGTTATTCATATTCACATGTATTGACTTTTAAGATTCCCTGCACTTATGTATGTTTTACCTTGATTTTAAGTTGGAGAAGTCTTACTGTTTATAGGATGATGGCTCCTGCTTGACCACAAAGATTTGCAAAATTGCAGTGAATTAAAATGTTAGCCTTCGATTGTTCTACCTCTGTTGTTTGTTATTCTGGATGCATCTGAAGCTTACTCCCAGAATTCTAATTTGTAGAACTACCTGCAATCTGCAGATCAGAATCATATCGTTTTTATCTTCCACCAAAGCTGCATGTTGATAAACCTAGAAATTCCTATTGCGAGTAGTGATTTGAGGTTATTACAAATTTTGGCTACTTATGAGCTGGTGTATATTTGTTGGCTTTTGCTCATGATTTCCTATTAATATCTTTTAGTACTAGACTTGAGAACCTGGCTCAAAATTTCTTATTACACAAAAAATGATTTTGACATTATCTTGGTGCTGAGTATAACAATCTCGATTCCCTTTTTTTACAGGAAAATCATGGAAATGCCATCTGTAGATTGGGAAGATGTGGCTGACAATTGGTTTGGTGGATGTTGCACCTCATTTGGTGGTGCAGGCGAGAAACTCGTATCTCAGTTTATTAGTGCATATGGTCGTTTAGAGGGAACAAGTCTACTGGATGCAACTGCCATTACTGTAGAAACAGACTATCTTGAAGCGGATTTAGTGTCTCAGCTAGCTTGTTCGGTGCTTAGTAGAGATTTTGTTGCTATAAAAGAAGCTATATTTGATGTTAGTGTAGAAAAAGATCATACCACTGGCAAGATAAAGATGAATAATTCAGAAGAGCAAGCAAAGATCACAGCTACTCGTGCACAACTGCCTATTATTTTGGAAGAGGGGACTAGTGTTAGTAGTAGTGAAACAAATGGAGTCAGTCCTCAGACTAATCAGCCTGTCACTTCTCAGATGGAAACTGATACTGATGTGTACTTTGAGAAGTCTGAAAATGACTTCTGTGTTGAAAACATGGGGAAATCTAAGAAAGAGTTTGATTTGTCGCTGGGAGATCTGGGCCATTGCTGTTGTGTCAATGGATCCAATGGGAAAGCTGAAGATAACCCTTCACAAATGTCCTTGGGGAACGAGAAAAAGCAGAATATGTTGGAGATTAAAAGGGATTACAAATTAACAAAAACCATTTCTCTTGGTAGTAGCTTTGTTGTTAAAGCTTCTAACCTTTTGAATGATTTTGAGTGGGCTGAACTTTTTTGTGGTCGATGTTCATTACCTCTTGGTTCATACCCTTCTCAGTGTTCGCTTGTTCCGGCTGATGGCCGTGTACGACTCTTCAAGTGCTACACATCTACAGAAATTCCTGTAACAGGGCCTCGTGATGTGTTTAGGTAACTCTCTACACTGCTTCTTAATCTTGAGATAGATGTTAAAGGCCCACAGTTCTGATTCTATTGTAAAAGGAAAATAAGTACTCCGTTCCAAATTGTAAGACATTTGGCATTTCTAGGTACATAGCTTTTACTGTGCATCTAGTTATACTTTATGTCTAGGTCTATAGAAAAAACTACGTATCTACAAAAGCCAAAACGACTTACAATTTGGAATAGAGGGAGTATTAAGTATGATCTTTCTTGCTCTGTATAGATATTTTGCACTTATTGCTAAGAAGTTGATTTCACCACTGATACATGGACATACATTATCTATGTGCAGGGGACATACATTGGAAAGAGTTTTTGTGAATCTGCTGCTCGAAGTCGCAGAAGACGAAATATCTTTTCGTACAGTAGTCAGAGATTTGAAAACCAAAAGGCCCATGCTGCAATTAGTTCTTCTTAGCCCAAAAGCATGGTTATCTTCTGGCTGCTGCTATGAAAATGATATCAATGGTTCACATGGAACAGCAGACCTGCAGCCTAGTGTTAAACTCTTGTATTCTGATTATAGCAATGCTTCAGAAGGGGACTTAAGGTACATTTTTATTACACTGCACACTTTTTATGATGTTTGTGATCTTTGCTACTCCCTACATTCAAAATTGAACTGATCCATGTCTTACATAAAAGAACAGAGGAAGTATTTAGCTATTTAGTCATGGACAAAACTTTTGAAACCTTTTCTTTTCCATTCGCAGAAGATGCACTGCACATAGTATGCCATAGGTTACTGGCAGTGTAATCTTATTCTAGTGTTGAAATAGAAACCCTCCTTGCTCAATATCTTGAGGTCCATACTGGTTTTTAGTTTTACATACATGTCTAATGTTTACTGGCAGAGAAACATTAACACTGTGTTTTGTAAGAATGCCGGCAATATTTAGTCATTCGAATTTCAAACTGATATCTGAGCTGTTCCTTTCTTTTGTCAAATTACTTGCTGTTAATGTTCATAATTCTGCAATAATTAACTGAAAAAAGACTATTCTTGTTTGAGTATCATAATTATGCCTTGGCTATGGGTTATGGCTTCCAGCTCCAGACTGGCCAAGTGGTTGGGGTACCGTTTTTGTTGATGACAAATTTTAGGATCTCAGCAGATGGCTTGCATATCTGCAACATTTGTTTGATGTAAAGTTCAGTTCTTCCATGTTATTACTTGTATATACGTCAGTATTTATTTTCTTCAACTGTGTTGACAACAATGTGTACTATCCCATCTTCAAGGCTGTCACGTGCAAAGCCATATCCCATAAGGTCAACATACCATGTCTATGTGCTTTTCTTTTGATGTCATTGTTACTTATCTTCTGCTGTTTCCAACTCTTAGGATTGTCGAAGAGTGGACATCCAAATATCGGGCTGAAGAGCTGTACATGATGAAGCGTCAAATAGATGAACTTACTGAATGCCTAAGCTCAGTAATGGATAACTTTCCAGTTTCTTGTTCTTCCCTTGAAGGGATGCAGCTCTCATCTCTTAGGCGCTGACTTGAGTATTCGACAGGGAAATTGTGCCTGGACTGGTCACATTTTTCTTCTCAGAGGCCATACAGCTAGCATAGAATCCTGATCGGCGTACCTGATCATCCCCAGTTTCTTTTGACCTTTCAGCAAGTTCCCTGATCATTTCTTTAAAGTTTAAGATGTCACGCCTTGTCCTCTGTTCTCAAAAGATTTGGCATCCAAAATGGAGTAATGGCTAATCCAAAACTTTCAGCTTCTCTGGTAATATAGTTGCACAGCATTTAGCATGCTATTAGTGGCTCTGAAGGTTTAAATGATCAAACATACTAACCGAGTTTTTCTTTCGGTGTATAAAATCCGATGTCTTGATTTTCTTATATGGAACTAGCTCCAACTATTGGTGACAAATTTGTGGAGTGACTTGCTCTTGGAAGTTTTAAGATTCCTTTCTGATTTGAACAAAGTTTTTGAACCAACCGCAGATCAGCATCTTATTAATATTGGCCCTGATGCTACTGAAACATCTTCTATTGAAATGGCTAAGTCTTGAATGTACGGTTTTGGCCCAAGGTCCAACTGATGTCTGCATACCAGAGGCCCGGTGACACATTTGTGATTATTTCGATGTAAACCACAACATTCCTTTTCCATTAAGATGATAAGAAGGACACGATCAATTGGCATGTACATTGCACTATTGCTGAAGGAAACAGTACTTTGAGCTATCATGCATGGGTACAACCACTGTGCCCTCTGACGGGATAGAAGAACTAGCCTCTGTGCTTGTGTAACATAACATCAGCAGTTGATGAGCACCCCTGGGAGGCTGGGACACATCTGCGATGCACATTCATGACTGGTAACTTGTTCATTCCTTTCCTACAGAAATCGTTTCACTGCATATTTGCTAGCTTCTGACTAGTGCGCATGTATATATGATCTAGTTTCACATAAAAACAGTACCTCATTGTTACACATGTCATCAGCCACACAATGCATTCTGCATAACAGTGCAGGATTTTTACCATATCTATCACCGTTGTATTGCATACAGTGAACTGTGAACATATGCATAGATGAAAAGGATCCACCTAGGCTAGCCTGTAACAAAGTAGCGAGGTGCATTATATAACTTTTTGCTGGGAAAACATGTGCCCGCCACCGACTTGTCTGGAACTGTAGATGCGTGCATGGGTCTATGTCTATCCGGTGTTCCGGGCTCTGTCCTGTTCTTACGTCCACCTTGCTGTGTTTCGGCACATGCTCATGAGCCGCATTATCGCCATAGACCCTTGCCAAAACCGTGAAAGTGCCTTGTAGACGGGGCCCCTGCGTGATGTATCAGGTGTTGTTTCACAAATGGTGAAGCACACTAGGTGAGCTAACATCACCTACGCATTGATAGATCCAAAGGCATGTCACGTTCTCTTGTATTAGTCCTGTCGAAAAAAAGATGTAATTCTCACTTTCGAGATCAAACATCTTTAAATTATATCAGATCTATCAAAAAAGACGACATTTTTATGGCATCGTACCAAATAAGTATCATTTGATTAACCACATAATAAAAATATTTTCATGGTATACTTATTTAGATTAATAAATATCAATAAATTTCTCTCTAAACTTAGTTAAAATTAAGAAAGTTTGACTCAATGCAAATCTAAAATTGTACCTTTTCTGGAATGGAGGTAGTACATTGCAAGAATAGGTCGACGGGAGCACTAATGTAGGCTTTGAATTGATTCTGTGGTACTACCTTCGTCCGCAAAAGAATGCAATTATGGGACACGTGCCGGTCAAGTTTGACCAATTTTATAGCAAATATTATTAGCATTTATGTCTCTAAATAAATTTATTATAAAAATATATTCTAGAACTAATCTAGTGGTACTTAATTTGTATCATAAATGTTTGCTCTTTTTATATAAATTTAGTCAAAGTTAAAACTGTTTAACTTCTCGAAAAACGAAAATTGCATTCTTTTATGAACGGAGGGAGTAGACTCCCCCCCCCCCCCCCCCCAAGGCATTATAATTCCCTTTTGTGTTCAATCATTATAAAGTTAAAAGTCTTATGATCAAAGTGATTTTACATATAAATACAGAAGAAAAAAGACAGACTTGTGTACCATCGATTAGGAGTATATAATGGGTTGAGCTTAAATTTTCCAATTCACGCCGCATTTGGCCACCAATCCTGCATGTATTTCAACAAGAGCTTAGCTTTAGTTTTTGTCGTTCTCACTCAACACCACACTAACTGAACATTAACACGGCTGCCGAGGCACGATATAAACATTTCAATCTGGTGTGTTCATCTAGGAAACCACCCTTAACTAAGGCCTTGTTTAGTTGGCGAATTTTTTTGGGAAATAGTATTGTAGCACTTTCGTTGTTATTTGACAATTAGTGTCCAATCATAGTCTAATTAGGCTTAAAAGATTCGTCTCGTGAATTTCGTCTAAACTGTGTAATTAGTTTTATTTTTTATTTATATTTAATGCTTCATATATGCATCCAAAGATTCGATGTGACGGGGAATCTTGAAAAATTTTGCAAAAATTTGGGAACTAAATAGGCACTAAACTCATTTCTAGCTCCTTGTTTCTTTCATTTGCCACATCCAATCCAATCAAATAATTGGATCACCATATATCTAATATATCTTATTAGATGGATCACGACAAAATTTGGAGTCTAGTTAATTACATGAAGGTACACGCACTGCTCTGAATAATTGCTCTTCTCTTTCTGTGTCTAGTTTAAGGGAAAAAATTAAAATTAAACACAAGGAGTCAATTGATTATATGCATGCAGGTAGGCCCCTATAATGGCAGACATGGTTAAGTGGAACTAGTGCATCTAACCATCACCTTGTTCGTTTGGGCTTATTTGGCTTATAAGCCGTACTTTTTCAGCCAACGAATAATATTTTTCTCTCATACCAAATCAGCCAACATTACTTTCAGCCATGGCTTATCAGCCAAACAAGCCATGTTTATAAACGTACGTACGTACCATTAACTGGAGCCTTCATCAATTGGAGACATGCCCAACCCAAGGCCATAATAATGCATATGGATCAAGTAGCCCTAGCTTTATTTCATGAATCATGATGGTTAAGAGATCAGCCTATTGTTTTAGTGTGCCTTCTCCCAAAGGCATTTTGAGTACCACTTTCCTCAAGCCATCATTTTTTCCTTCTTGTTTTATATATATTTGGCTTGCAATAACACTTCTTGTTTTAGCTAGGTTGGTTAGGTCCAGCAGGAAGCAGTTAATAATTTAATGTCAGATAAGATATTATTAGGGTGAATTTGTTTTTCACATAGATGTTTTTATTGGCTTGGCAGAAACATATGCTTGCCTTTGACTAATGCATGCAGAAGAAGACATACAGTTAGCAACTGGTTCTTTGCATACACTCACGCAGTGCTTATCTAGTAAAGATGTATACCGTGTGTAGTAAAGTTGACAGTGCCTTTTTCACTGGAAACAAAAAAGAGTAACTCAACAAAAAAAAAAACTTGACTGTGCAGGTCAAATTAGACGTAGGGTGAGACCTTCTTTACAACTACAAGGCCGGTGGCTTTGCTGAGCAATGTAGGGGCCCAGACATGGAGGGATCCAAGGGAAGAAAAGGAGGCCACACTGAGCCCTAGTAGTGGAGCCGTTATACTAGTATCCAGATTTTATATCGCCAACTTTATATATATATATATATCTGGCTAGTTCGTCAGATCAAACTGTGGACCTGTGGTGCATGCAACCAGCAGTATCTGAACCTGAATATTTAAAGGGCTAGAACATTCGATTATATACCGGCCGGCCTACTGAAAGAACTGGCTAGGTTACATGGGAGTGTGTTGGTCTTCAAGATAGTGACAAAAGGAAGCATGTTCGCCATGCGAGAACTACTCCCTTCATTTCAAAGTATATAGTATAATTTTGGTTTTTCTTTAAGTACGTATTCTAGCAGATACATAGAAAAAACTATATATCTAAAAAAGTCAAAACAACTTATAATTTAGAATGGATGAAGTATATTATACGAGTATCACATTCTCATCGACATTAGATTGTTGTGTTATTGTGACTGAAGTCTCTAAAGACCTTGTTCATTATTCATACGGTAAAGGAAAAGTCAGGGGTAGGAAAGCACAAAGAGATACTATTATATATGCTCCTTTAGTTGTTAAATAAATATTTAGTACACGTATGAGTGGATAACTCTGTGAAATGCAGCATAAAGAGTGACAAGTCGCCAAAGTTCTTGTTTAGAGTATTGAGTACTTTAGGTTGGGATCCTAACTTAAACAGCCCTTTTCTCTCTTCTAGCTCGAAGCTCGAGAAAGCAAGCGGCTTTAGGCGAGGAGCAACTGCCGATTACATGATTATATCAAACTCCAAAGCGATTCGCATGTTTCCGGGGATTTAATCAGATTTCCCTGTTAGGATTTCAAATTTTGGCGGGAGAGAGAGGTTGCCACATGACGACAATTAACTACATGGATTATGTTATATATATCATGCACAGACATATATACATTATTTATTGTTAAACGAATGTTGCAATTTTTCATATATAGAAAGTGACATTTACAATATGTGAGTGAATCTCTGTTAGTGTGTAATCATACATTTTAGAGACATGTATATATACATTTTATTTACAATGGAAGAAACTAGCAGCTCCTCCAACCAATGGAAGAAACATTTTGCTAATTCTAGTTCTCTTAAAACTGCATGCCACCTTAATCATGCATGCATTTCGTCACCATTTTCCACTGGAGGAAATTACACTCCCTTCCCCTCCTCCAAATGGAACTGCAGGGAAGAGATGAATCTATGACAAATGCCATTCAATAAATCTGTAGAAACCAAAAAAGGAAAAGAAAAGATAACAGCTCCAGAATGAATGAACAAACAAACAATTCTTCCATTTTAACACAATTTGATTTCACGGAATTAGGACTTGCATTAACATGTACTAGAAGAGAATTTGTACAACTGCACTCACTCACTCTATCATCACTCTCACTCACCACCAGCAGCCGATGCATTACCATCTGCATCACATACACTTGCTTGAGCCCAGCCTGCTGCTTGGATCACTTGAGCTCAAGCATCACATACACACACTGCCACACTGGCAGTCCTTCCTACGTACCCAGTCCAGCTAGCTAGTTCGCCTTGGCTGCGCGGGCGACGAAGACGGCCTCCAAATCCGCCGGCACGCGGAAGAACTCGTCGAGCACCTCGCCGCCGTCGTAGTTGCACCGGCGACCGGCGGCGGCGGCAGTGCCTCTGATGATGGACACCGCCGTCCTGGGCTTCTTGGGCGCGGGTGGGCACGTCGCCGCCTCCGTCGGTATCCTCCACCCTTCCCCTCTCGGCGTCACGGGCTCTTCCTCTCCCTCCTCCTCGGTGGTGGCGGTGGCGGCATGCCGTCGGCGGCCGGTCTTGACGGGCTTGAGCTGCTGCAGCGGCAGGGTGGCGATCCCGGCGCCGGATAGGCCCAGGACCCAGACCTTGCTGCCGTCTTGGTGCTGCTGGTGCTGGTGCCCGTGACGATCTTCCACTCGCGTACTGTGCACCAGCTGCTGCTGCTTCTTCACCTCCGGCAACCCCATCTCTACTGACGACTGATGATAATTAATCTAAGCAGCAGCTGAGAACCAAGAATGCAAGCAATGGAAATGGAGTGTAGGGGGGTTGAGAGTGAGAGCTTTGTGCACAGAAGAAAGAGGGTGCTACTGGAGGCTAAATAAGTGAGGCTTTAGGCTTTCTGTGCTGCCTTCTTTTGACAAAGCTCAAGGGGTTACTCTTACTCTTGTGTGTGGTGTGTGTGTATATATAATATATATACATATATAAAAAGGGAAATTATTTCAGGCAGGCAGGCATGATGAAGGCAAGGAAGAAAGAGCAGGGAGATTGGACACACTTGCAAAGTTGCAGAGAGGCAATCATTCTTTCCAAGTCATTACATTACTGATGACAAACGGGCCGTTATTCATGGGCTGCCAGTTCCAGGCCCACGATGCTGCTAATAGCACGGCCCAATGCAAATCTCACTTGTGCTACCACTATTTTTTCCCTTCCTTTTTGGCAGAGTCAGATACTCAGATCAGTACTAGTACTCACACACACTGTAGACTGTACCAGCTTCTAAACAGGAAGACATGTGTGACTGTGGTTGCTGACAGCCTGACAGTGACACACCTACATGCATGAATGCATGATGTCCGATGACAACTATCCTGTCCATCACACAAGAAGAGATTGCAATCAAAGATTATCCCAGCCCTAGCTTACCAGGCATGAATGCCCTGCAGGCCTGCACACATGACCACTTCTCCAACCGGGCAACCAAACCAGCACACTGAAAGGAAGTTAGGAACTCTCATATTTGACCTCACTGACTCAACCATGATGATGAGTGCCTTTCCAGTTCTGAATTCTGATTATTCCTTCCTGTCATTTGAAGCCAAAGAAACAAAACCCCTTTGTTGTCGTTGTTGGTGTTGTTGGGACCGAGACCGACATGGGAGCCAGCTCGATCCTGCTGCACTGCATATGGCACAATGTCACCGTTGCATGGCACCTACCTACCTTCTGGCTCTGTCATTTGGCATTATAATATAGCTCCCATCTCTTAATCTAGGCACCTAATCTGGTCTCAGGTAGAGAAAAGAAAAGAAAGCTCAGGGAAGAGGGAAGATCTTGTGTACCTCACTGTCGTGGTGGGGCCCGCATGACGTACGCGCCATGCACAGGGACAGCTCAACCACGAGAGGCCACCTATTCGTTCTTGGGTTTTCAGAAGGAAAAGAAGATGGTTCCTGTCTGATCTGCCAATCCAGTCTATGATGATCCACCAATCATTCTCTCATAAATGACTGTGTTAATGAAATGGAAATATAAATAAAGCGAACAAGGCATTCCAGCTGCTTTTGTTTATTTATTCATCTATTCCTGTGCAAATGCAGTCAAGTAGGAGTATCAGTGAGCGGTGGCTGTGTTCAGTGTAGCTTTCTGAATAAGCCTCTGCATGTACTGTGTGTGTGTCAACGTAAGCAGACATGCCATTCTCAGGGGCCCACATGTTAGACACACGCTTGAAAGCATGGGCCCACCGGATGGCGGATCCACTCTGGAAAACCAGGCTCTTTCATCTGCTTTGCGATTTCCCATCTCATCATCCTGGAAAAAAAAAACAGTAAAGGTTGGCTGGTTGCTCCCTGGACCAACAATTTGACCACTAGCCTGCAAGCGCACAAGCCTTTCACCAGAAAGGATTCCTCTTTGCCCCCGTCTCTCCAGCCTAGGCTAGATGCCTGTTTGGGTTGGGCCCAGTTGCTAGCATACATGCGTGCCTCGTCTAGTGATCTGCAATCGAGATCAGCTAGCATGTCTGATGAGTGGAGTGATGATCTGGGAAGCGGCGAAAATACAGTATCGCCTCCATGCACTGTTCACTGCAAAAACAAAAACAGCTTAGGCTTTTCTATATGAGTATGTCTACTTACACAACTATGTGTTTTATATAGTTTCAACACATGAATTTTTTTTACACCATAGGATTAAGATCCAACAGCCTCCGCCCTTCTTCTACCTCCAGCCTCCACAGATCACAGATCACAATTTTTTTTTCTATGGAAGGACAAATCACAGATCCACCGCCGCCGCCACCGCCATTGCCATGGCCGGCGTGGGCGCGGGGAGGCACATCGGGCGCGGGCGCCGGCGCCGGCGCCAGTGGTCACCGGTGAGAAAGAGAGAGGGAGAGAGATAAAAAATCTATGTTTTTTTTTTTGCTAAAACACATTTGTGTTATATAGCATTTCTGTTTCTATATTGATGACTGACGATGATTACAAGTTCCAAGTCATATCTACTGCATACTCAAAGAAAAGGAAGAAGACCAAAAGGGATAGAACAGTAAAGTAGAAGTCAAGGTATACACATTAAAAAAATATCTCTCCTTAAAGAGTTTTATGGAAAGTTTTATGGCGTCCACAACGGTAAATATCAAATCGCCAGTTGGACACAATAAAAAATAGCAAAAATGGAAAGTTTTATGGAGGGTAGTAGAGCTGAGAGAGAGCGCCTTCTAGAAATTTGTGCGAGCCTAGCGAGTTTGGAGTCGCTAGCGCGTTCTTTTCTTTCCTTTCTGGCCAATCAAATCTCACCTATGCTGATGATTTAGAAACCATTGGGGATGCCCTAGGTTTTTCTTTTTTAATTAATAATGAAAAAGGTGAAATATAGCAAAGTAGAAGTATGTAGCAAGTTTAAGGACTCTTTTTTTTTGAAAGATTTGGTTGCCCGACATAACATTAATAAGAAGGAAAAGTTCGTTTCAAAAAAAAAAGGAAAAGTTTACCACGTACAACAGACCGTTGTAGTGGTTTTAGAGTTGTAAGCTAATACTCGTAGACAAATAACCAACTAAAAGGGGCTTGAGAAATTTCCCTCCAGCCATGGACCAAAGAGAGCAAGCATCCTTAATTTCTATGAGCACTGCCTGGCCCGTGCGTCTAGAATCCTTGAAGATCATTGCATTTCTTTGCTTCCAGATGCACCACAGAGTGAGGATGGCCAAGGTATGTGACGTTTTGGTGCCTTCTTAGGTCAAGGCCAAGAACCAATCTTCACATTCAGTCACGTCCGTCCATTGTGGTGGCCACATATTTCGGCAGCCACTCCATGCTGCCACCTGGCTCCATACGAGACGGGTGAATGGGCACTCTAGGCGTGGGTAGAGGTTTCCATGTTCCTTTCACATAAAGCACAGAAATAATTATTCTCGCATCCCTGCTGCTTCAGTCTTGCTGTTGTCCAAAGTCTGTTCTGAAGGAGCCATAAGAATAATTTGCACCTTGGCGGTGCCTAGGCTTTCCAGCTGATAAGTGTAAAGAAATTAGAAAGGATGTGACTAGCAAATTGGATGTCGTAAGCCGACCTTGCCGAGTATTGTCCTTAGCTTTCAAGAATCCAGGTTATTTGCTCATCCTGTTTAAGGGCTCTAGTTTATGCAATTTGAGGCTTCAACTCCACGGATCTAGACAAGAACGCAGGACAGACCAATGCATCAATGAACTATTCATTAGTAATTGCACATGCCAGTTTCTTGTATGCCCTAGATGAGCCAAACTAGCATCGCCATCATCGGACTGGCAGCACATCTGAGTCGATGCTGCTCGAGCTGGGGGAAGGAGCTACGAGCTCGTTGGTGTTTAAATTCAGGGGGTAAAATTTAGGATGTCATATCAGGGTGTCATATTAGAGTATTCGGATAGTAATAATAAAACAAATTGTAGAAGTTCTCAGTAATTCGCGAGACGAATTTATTAAACTTAATTAATCCGTCATTAGCACATGTTTACTGTAGCACCACACTGTCAAATCATGTACTAATTAGGCTTAAAAGATTCATCTCGTAAATTAGTCACAATCTGTACAATTAGTTATTTTTTAGTCTATAATTAATACTTCATGTAAATGTCTAAACATCCGGTGTGATAGGAAATAAACTTTAGAGGGAGAAACTAAACAAAGCCATATACGCGTACACGGCGGTACCATCTAGAGAGGTATGATAGTTGTGGTCTATTCGTACGGAGTATCTGACATCCTGCTCGAATTCACGACCGGCCGCTCCTCCACTGGAGCGAATGCCGTACAAGCTACGGTTCGTTCCCTGCTCCACATCCACTTAACGGAGCAAACACATCCTCCTGACATTGTGCAAAAGCTGTAGCAGCAACTGTCGAGACTACTTGCAGACCACAAGTTTACACATATTTTCGCAAAGAATTTCACAAGAAGCAAACGAATCTTTGTAGAGTAACCAGAAAAGGTTCTAGCCGTGTACACTCCTTGAATTTGATCCTTACGAAATTCCTACATTTCATTTCACACACACAAAAAAAGAGGTGTTACTGTTACCGTATTTCACGTGTGGCCTCTGAGGCACGCCTCATCAACCTGAGGTGACACGCTGGATACAAAAATGTCGCTGCGTTGCATCCATCCAGCATCCACGATGGAGCTGGCAATGGTCGAAGATGCTCGCTCTCCTCATCTCAAATATACTAGACTGCACTTTATGTGACGTATAGCTTTAGTATACCTCTCCTTTTTCTTTGTCCGGCACACATCGTCCTCAAAGATTCCCGGGCTGGCACAAATTGCTCGAATGACAGGCCATGTATATATCGGTGACGAAATCAATTCAGAAATCCGTAGGTGGTTATGACTTTGGCGGCATAAAATGACAACACGGCTTTAGCATGGCCGGTGCCGATGCTGGTGTTCGTTTCCGGTCGGCACCTCATATTCGCCGCTGCTGTTGCCTTCATCCACAGATAACTGGGCACCCTCTCCTCTGCTTTTTAGAAGTGAGATGTCCTCCTCTGCCTTTTCTTTTCCTTCTGAATTACTTTCATCCTTTCCTGCAGCATCAGATGATGTCATGACTGGTGAGTGAAGAATCTTGAGATTTTGGCATGTGGAATATGTCATTCACAAAAATGGAAACTGTGTATGGACAGAATGTCAGATCAGAATTTGTGGTGACATGAAAACCAGAATTACTGAATGGTTATGGCGTCTAGAGAAAAAGATTTGTGTTGGTTAATAAATCATTGACCCTATGTGTGCTTATTGCTCTTGTGGGACCACACAATTGACGATTTATATTCTAAGGACCGAAAGCAAACAGTTCCCGGAACCAAAACATCAACCTCTGACAGGAGGTTTTCCAAGAGATGATAGAATCTACGTACCATGCTGAGTCAGGCTTGACAGCGGCACCAGGGCGGCTGGAAGCTTTGCTAATGAGGATTCGGCAAAGCAGACATGTCATCCTCCAATGGCGCCATGACATTCCTTCTTTCGGTGCAACGATATGATAGGATAATAATAGCATTACCTGCCTCGAGTTTTGATAATCAGTAGCAGGTGACGGATCAGCACTGACGGCTGGACTTCTTTTCTGCTGCAAGAACTTGGACTGCGTGAGGTGGATCCAGCGTGGCTCTTGGGCTGGACAACTTGGTATTTTCCTTGTCCAGGGCGGTTGAACATGTGGAGCTCTTTTGCTGTGGGTCACCGTCCCCTGCAGCTCACCCTGGTCATTCGGTCAGACCGAACCGATCGGTTCGGTTCCTCGGTCATTCGGTCAGTTCGGTCATTAGAAACCTGGGACCGATCGGTCTTTGCAAAAAACGAAGACCGAGGAAGTTCGGTCTCGGTTAGTTCGGTTCGGTCTCGTCGCGACCGAACTAGCCTTTTGAATAGCGAACCCACAAACAATAGCAGAATCTATAGTAATTTTCAACAGCATGCTTGCTATTTGAAGGCAAAAAAATAACAACACAATATATAAAACAAACCACACATTATTACGACAAGTTCTAGCACACAACTTTCTCAGTTCTCACAAATCACAATCACACATAATGACATTACGAACGAAGTTTACAGAACTACGGTCAGTTCGGTCACTTCGGTTAACCGACACATATGACCGAACTTCTATCGGTTACTTCGGTTAGTTGGGAGCCAGGACCGAACTCATGACCGAACTTTTCGGTCTCGGTCTTTTCGGTCTCGGTCTCGGTCTTTTCGGTTCGGTCTTCGGTCTTCGGTTAATTATGCCCAGAGTTACCTGCAGCCATTTGACTGGATTCAGTATTCTGGGGCTTGCATTCTACAGCCTCTCTCTGTCCTTGTGCTTCAGTGATCCTCAGAGATGAATCCACAGGGACAACCTCAGTGCCATAGCTCTGAAACAATGGGCTGAACAAAAAGTTAGACTGGGTTAGGGGCTCTTGGTCATAAACCGCAGCAGCCAGTTCATTTAAGACTCAGGACTAAGGGTGTAAAAAAAGTGACACATAACATGTTGGTAGATGAATTTGAAAGAAACCACGTTTTTTAAAGTGAAAGCAACCTTGAATGCATGTTTAACATGACATAACACGATAATTATACCAAAGGTCAGGTTACTTTCATGCTGTCCTGCTTTTCACTTGATTTGATCCAGGTAAACTTCCTCCAGGCTGCAGAAACATTGGCCAAACCCGTTGTTCCCTTGCGCCCCAAGTGCAATATGAGGTAAGATGAACGCAGCCAATATCATAAATAGTTGAAAGTGACTGGAGCATACACGGGAAGCCTAACCAGTAGGAGAAAATTTGCACCATAATGGATTTCTGAAGACCAATCATGTTATCTGATATGTGAAGCCAAGCAAAATGATAAGCAGATAATAGTATATTAACACCAAAAACTAAACTTTTCTTTTGAGCCGCACTTAGAAAAGAAGAAGGAAAAAAAAGATAATGAAAGATGAAGGATCCAAGAATGGTACTCGCTGATCAATTATCGATCCAATAATGTCACACAGAAAAGGTTATGTGGGTCCATCAAAGCAAGAACGCAGACACAATGGTCCAGCCACCACAACCATGTGCCTCACGTACCAGTTGGCATTTTGGCACCTAATGCTGACTCTCCATGTTCATTGATCTGCCATTTCAGGGATAACTTCTCCTGTTTAATCAAGATTACACTTAGGCAAGTTTAATTCCCTGTCAAGGCACTGTCAGTCTGTCACTGCTTCCTAACCGCTGCTCAGCAATAGAAAACATATTGACAGAGGGGCAGAGGAAAGGTCGGTATAAAGACCACCAGCTTTTCGAGAGCTCACAAGCCTTTTTCAGGGAGAAGCCACTCCATCTTTCTTTTTTCCTTTTTCCTTTCTTCTTCTTCTTCTTCTTCTTCTTCTTCTTCTTCCTCCTCCTCCTCCTCCTCTTCTTTCTCATTCTGATCTGGAGCAATGGCGACCGAAGATGAAGCGAGAGAAGCAGCAGATGGGACGGTAAGAAATGTCTCCTCTTAGCCTCAGAACTTCTGCATCACTCGCTTGCTTCTGTTTTCCTGCATGCATACATACTTTGTTAAGATGTAGAACTACGTAAGGAGATTCATTGTCACAGGAATCTTATCAGCTATGTCATGAGAAGCATGTTTATAACAGTTCAGTAATTTTTTTTTTACCATTTTGCAAGGAAAACCATTATGGTACCTTCTTTCTGGTTCCACAGTTGCTACGTGTTTACTGTTAATCTCCTTTCAGTAACATGAAGGAAGAAGGATTCTTCTTCATGTAGTAAACTGTGTACAAATGGTGCTGCACTCATTTCTTTCAGTTGTTAAACAAATGATCTTCAAAAGCAGCCAAGTTTCCTTAAAGAGTGAAAGAATTGAACGCAGTAGGAATAATCATATTGTCCTTGTTTATAACAAGCCTAGTTAAGATGTATTTTGAAATTGTGTTCTGTTCTTGATTTGATTGGGAAAAACGTACATGCGAAATTAGTTAGTATTGTAGTATATGTCTGAAGGATCCAGGGATCAAGAAAAATAACGATGGAAAATTACAGTTTCATAGGTAATCACCCATGTAGATATCACTGAGTGACATGCTTTGCTCTTCTCTTTTGATCACTCCTTTTTCTCAACCTAGTATTGCTCTCCTGAACTTGATAGATGGATGTGAATTCACCTAACTTTTAGAAAATAATGTTAAAGGATTATATAGCATTTTTTCCTCCTAGGTTCAACCCATCCAGAACCAAAAAAAAATGCTAACAATAAGGATAGACAAGTTTAACAGTTTGGTCAACTGTTGTGACGTGAATGACAGGGTTAGGTAAACATGCATAAGCATCTAACATTAATTTACACTGAGCATCAACCATTCAGTGTGGTGATTTAATACAAAGGCATGAAGAGAGCAAAAGTCTACTTAAAGCATGCCAAAACATATATGCCCTGTTCGCTTGGCTGATAAGCCATGACTGAAAGTACTGTTAGCTGATTTGTTGTGAGAGAAAAATATTATTCGTTGGTTAAAAAAATATGGCTTATAAGCCAAGCGAACAGGGCGATAGTTGCAGCACTAACACACTTAATAGGAACATTCAGTATTACAACCCTTCATGTTAGAACTAAACAAGGTTTTTGGAGAGGCACAAACTCATCCAGTTAGGATGCCCACATGCAGTACTGCCGGGGCAGTGTACTATTTCACTAGTCAGCATGTTCTTTTTGATCACTTGCTGCAGTACTAGAAGTCTAGACTCTAGAGGCTAGAGCCATGAAATGGAAACCCATTTATCCGGTAAGTCAGTTGCGCCTTGTTTAGTTCCAACTTAACTTTCAAAAAGAGACTCTATCACATCGAATGAAATGGAAACCCATTTATCCAGATAAAAAGAAAAACTAATTACACAGTTTTGGCCAAAACTAAATCCAAAGAAATGGCCAACGAGAAATGGCGACTGGCCGACTGCCATGCAGGACAGTCTGCTTGCACTTTTGCAGTGCTGCAGTACACTCATGACTGGATGTCCTTTTGAGTATATTATGGCCGTAATTGAACAAAGTCAAGAGATAGTTAATATAAGATTGTACAGGTAAACATTTCCTTTTACATTCATACTTTTGGTTCATGACTACTATGGATAATATAAAGCCTAAAATATACTTCCTCTGTCCCCAGATACTCAGTCAAACTTAAGTTTGACTAATTTTATAGAAAAGAGTAACAACATCTATAACATAAAATGAGCGCATTATGAAAATATATTCTATGCTATATCTAATGATACTAATTTGACATCATAAATCTTGACGTTTTTTGTCTCTCTAGAAATCCGGTCAAAGTTTAAAAAGTTTGACTTAAGACAACTCTAGGAATCTATTTATTCAGGGGCAGAGGGAGTACTAATATTTCTTGTCTATGTTAGTCAGTTAAAACCCTATGTTGTCTCAACATAGCAGGTTCCAAGCCCTGGTAAAGGAGGAGGGTTATGATAGGCGTGGCGAGCTAACGTTAAATCTAGCCATTCTAATGGAGATGAAACCCGAAAGAAAACCGTTGGGACGTAACCCTCTTAGCGACGCGCCATATCGAAACCCGGGTATGGTGTTAAATGGGCAAGGGCCGGGTCGGCACCCCCTTGGTGACGCGCCGTGTCACTTTTTTTCGAACGAACAAGATGCCTGACGAGTGGAGAAGTATATTGGTACCGATCTACAAGAATAAAGGGGATATTCAAAGTTGTACTAATTACCGGTTAATTAAGTTGACGAGCCATACTATGAAGTTATGGGAGAGAGTTATCGAGCATCGCTTGAGAGCAATAACGCGGGTCTCTATGAACCAATTTGGTTTCATACCCGGAAGGTCAACCATGGAAGACATTTTCTTAATAAGACAAGTTATGGAGCGGTATAGGGAGAAGAATGACCTACACATGGTTTTTATTGACTTGGAGAAGGCTTATAATAAAATACCAAGAAATGTTATGTGGTGGACTTTGGACAAACATAAAGTCCCAACGAAGTACGTCGGGCTCATTAAGGACATGTACAACAATGTTGTGACTAGTGTTCGAACAAGTGATGGAGACACGGATGACTTCCCGATTAGGATAGGACTACATCAAGGGTCAGCTTTGAGCCCTTATCTGTTTGTCTTAGTGATGGATGAGGTCACAAGGGACATACAAGGGGACATCCCTTGGTATATGCTTTTCGCGGACGATGTAGTGCTAGTTGATGAAAGCCGGACAGGAGTAAATCAGAAACTGGAGTTATGGCGGGAGACTTTGGAGTTCAAAGGTTTTAGACTCAGTAGAACTAAAACTAAGTATATGAGATGTGACTTTGGCACTACTACTTGGGAGGAGGAAGATATTAGTTTGGAAGATCAAGTAGTGCTTAGGAAGGATACCTTTCAATATTTAGGATCAATGTTACAGAGAGAAGGGGATATTGATGAAGATGTTAGCCATAGAATCAAAGCAGGATGAATGAAGTGGCGCCAAGCATCTGGTGTCCTATGTGACAAAAGGTACCACAGAAGTTAAAAGACAAGTTTTATAGGACGGCGATTAGACCTGCTATGTTGTATGGTGTAGAATGTTGGCCTACGAAAAGACGACATGTTCAACAGATAATTGTCACGGAAATGCGTATGTTGCGTTGGATTTACGGTCATACAAGAAGGGATCGAGTTCGGAACGATGATATACGTGATAGATTAGGGGTAGCACTAATTGAAGAAAAGCTTGTCCAACACCGCTTGAGATGGTTTGGACATGTCCAACGGAGATCTACAGAGGCACCGGTGGTAGTGGAATCCTAAGCCAGGATAGTAACGTGAAGAGAGGCAGGGAAGACCGAAGTTGATTTGGGTAGATGCAATAAAAGGAGACTTGAAAGGATGAAATATACCCAAAGACTTAGCCTTAGATAGGAGTGCTTGGAAAACAGCTATTCACGTGCCTGAACCTTGATTGCTTCTGCTGGGTTTCAACTCTAGCCTACCCCAACTTGTTTGGGACTTAAAGGCTTTGTTGTTGTATGTTAGTCAGTTAAAAATACAACACAAATTAATAATATTATTATGACTGTCAAATGTGGCATGAAATCCACTATTTTAATGCCAGATTTATCTATAACTTCCCAGGAAGTCCAAGTGGAAGCTGTGGATTTAGGAACAGTTCATTTGCAAGCACACCCAGAAGGCAAGCTTTCATCTCTAATGGAGATCAAGAGCATGGGAGAAACCATCGATTCAACTGAAGGAACGTTGAAGATTCCAGAGGATCAAGTTTTTGTAGAAGCACCCTCTGATGTCCAACTTCCTCCAGAACATAATCTAAATGGCGAAGCATCTTCTCTGAATGGCCATACAGACAAAGAAGAGAAGATTTCAAATGAGCAGCCGCATGACAACGACCAGGAAGAAGCAGAACTAGATCAGAGCAACGGAATCAACAAAGAAGATGTGACTGATGGTTTAAGACATGGAGAGAGCACAACAGAAGACAGCTGCCTACTGAAGCACAAGAAAGATGAAGAACCCAAGGGTGATGACCAACAAGATTTAGGTGTTACAGTGGATGATGACTCGGTGCAGGAAGACACGCTGAAAACTGACAATGCTATTGAGCAAACAGATGATGGTCAGCAAGACCAAAATCAAGAACCAGAAAAGGCAAACAAGAACACAGAACCTTCAAGCATCACAAACAATGCGGATGTTGACAATGCTATTGAGCAAACAGATGATGGTCAGCAAGACCAAAATCAAGAACCAGAAAAGGCAAACGAGAACACAGAACCTGCAAGCATCGCAAATAATGATGTTGAGATTGTAGCTGAGGCACCGACTGGACTCCAAGCTCCTGTGGAGCCATGTATGGATGATTCTGATGGCATTCCGGAGACTATTGATGAAAAGACAGAAACAGATGAACCAACTAAGGCAGATGGTGTTGTTCGTCCTGAAGAGGTGGCCAAAGTAGAAGATCAACAGAGTCAGCTAGCTGATACGATGGATGCAGATGTGGCCCCGGAAGAGATTAAATGTGAAGAAACTGATCAGCAGGAAGAGAAGCCTAAATCTGAAGCTCATGAGCCAACGATTGATGCTCAAGGAGTGTTGAATCAAGAACTTTCTGAAGAAACTGATGACTCGATGAATGAAAAGATTGAAGAAACTGCGCACCAGAGGAACATGGCAGCTCCAAAGGAGACAACACTAGAACATGAGGCAACAATGAGTGCTCCACCAGTAAATACTCAAGTGCAGAACCAGGAATCATTAGAAGAAATAGAAGATACTGAAGCAGAAATCCAACCAAGCAGTGGCTTTGGGGATGCAATTCCAGAAGATCAATCTAATTTAGGTGTTACAATACACAATGACACTGTGAATGAGGACACACTGAGAGCTATTGAGCAACAGGATGATGGTCAGCAGGATGAGGGTCTAGAACCAGAAAAGGCAACTGAGCATACACAATCTGCAAGCATGACAAACATTCCCCATGCTGAGATTGTAACTGAAGCACCTTCTGGAGTCCAAACTCCAGGGGAGCCGAGTCTGGACAACTCTGATGCCATTCCAGATATTATTGATGCAAACACAGAAACAGATGAGCCAGCTAAACCACACGCTGTTGTTCATCCTGACCAGAAAGAGAGCTTTCCAGAAGATGCATCTACTGCAGAACCTACAGAAGAGGTGGTCCAAGCAGAAGATCAACAGAGCCAGCAAGCTGATGCGATGGATGCAAACATGGTGCAGGAAGAGGAGCCTAAATCTGAACACGCTGATGAGCCAGCAACTGATGCTCTTGAAGTGCTGAATCAAGAATCTGCTGAAGAAATTGATGGCCCAGTGAATACTGAAGAAACAGCCCACCAGGAGACAACACCAGAAAATGACACTACAACAAGGGAGCCACCTGTAGATATTCAAGCGCAGAACCAGGAATCATTAGAAGAAAGAGAAGCTACTGTAGAAGAAAAAGAAATTTCTGAAGCAGTTGATACTGAAGCAACAGTGCAACAAAGCAGTGCTGCTTTTGAGGAGGCAATTCCAGAAGATCAACATAATATAGGTGCTACAAATAACACAGTGCAGGAAGACACACTGGAAGCTACTGGGCAAACAAAAGAAGGTCCACAATACCAGGATCTAGGACCAGAAAATGCAACTGAGAACACACAACCTGCAAGCATGGCAAACATTCCTGATGTTGACGTTATAACCGAAACACCCTCTGGAATTCAAACTCCTGTGGAGATCAATCTGGACATCTCTGATGCCATTCCAGATACTACTGATGGAAACACAGAAACAGATGAACTAGTTAAAGCAGAAGGTGTTATCCATCCTGAAAAGAAAGAGAGCTTTCCAGAAGATACATCTACCGCAGAACCTACAGAAGAGGTGGCCAAAGTAGAAGATCAGCAGAGCCAGCAAGTTGATGCAATGGATGAAGACGTGGTGCAGGAAGAGGTGCCTAAATCTGAACACGCTGATGAGCCAACAACTAATGCTCTTCAAGTGCTGAATCAAGAATCTGCTGAAGAAATCGATGGCCCAGTGAATGAAAAGACTGAAGAAACAGCCAACCAGAGCAACATGCCAGCATCTGAGGAGATAATGCCAGAATATGACGTGACAACAAGGGAGCCACCTGTAAATATTCAATCGCACAACCAGGAATTGTTAGAAGAAATAGAAGCTACTGTAGAAGAAAGAGAAGTTGCTGAAGCAGTTGGTACTGAAGCACTGGTGCAACAAAGCAGTGTTGCTTTTGAGGATGCAGTCCCAGAAGATCAGCATAACTTAGGTGCTACAAATAACACAGTGCAGGAAGACACACATGAAGCTATTGGGCAAACAAAAGATGGTCAGCAATACCAGGATCTAGGATCAGAAAATGCAACTGAGAACACACAACCTGAAAGCATGGAAAACATTCCTGATGTTGAGGTTATAACCGAAGCACCTTCTGGAATTCAAACTCCTGTAGAGCTCAATCTGGACATCTCTGATGCCATACCAGATACTACTGATGGAAACACAGAAACAGATGAACTAGTTAAAGCTGATGGTGTTATCCATCCTGAAAAGAAAGAGAGCTTTCCAGAAGATACATCCACCGCAGAACCTACAGAAGAGGTGGCTAAAGTAGAAGATCAGCAGAGCCAGCAAGCTGATGCAATGGATGCAGATGTGGTGCAGGAAGAGGTGCCTAAATCTGAACACGCTGATGAGCCAACAACTAATGCTCTTCAAGTGCTGAATCAAGAATCTGCTGAAGAAACCGATGGCCCAGTGAATGAAAAGACTGAAGAAACAGCCAACCAGAGCAACATGCCAGCATCTGAGGAGATAATGCCAGAATATGACGTGACAACAAGGGAGCCACCTGTAAATATTCAATCACAGAACCAGGAATTGTTAGAAGAAATAGAAGCTACTGTAGAAGAAAGAGAAGTTGATGAAGCAGTTGGTACTGAAGCACCGGTGCAACAAAGCAGTGTTGCTTTTAAGGACGCAGTTCCAGAAGATCAACATAACTTAGGTGCTACAAATAACACAGTGCAGGAAGACACACAGGAAGCTATTGGGCAGACAAAAGATGGTCAGCAATACCAGGATCTAGGATCAGAAAATGCAACTGAGAACACACAACCTGCAAGCATGGAAAACATTCCTGATGTAGAGGTTATAACCGAAGCACCTTCTGGAATTCAAACTCCTATAGAGATCAATCTGGACATCTCTGATGCCATTCCAGATACTACCGATGGAAACACAGAAATAGATGAACTAGTTAAAGAAGAAGGTGTTATCCATCCTGAAAAGAAAGAGAGCTTTCCAGAAGATACTCAAGAAGATGCAGACGTGGTGCAGGAAGAGGTGCCTAAATCTGAACACACTGATGAGCCAGGGGTCAATGCTCAAGAAGTGCTGAATCAAGAATCTGCTGAAGAAACTGATGGCCTGATGAATGTAAAGACTGAAGAATCTGAGCACAAGAGCAACATGGTGGTCCCTGAGGAGACAATGCCAGAACATGATGCACAAATGGGGGAGTCACCTGTAAATATTCAAGAACAAAGCCAGGAATCAGTAGGAGATGCTGAAGCAGTCGATACTGAAGCAGAAATGCAACAAAACAGTGTTGCTTTTGAGGAGACAACTCCAGAAAACCATGTAGCAACTACAGAGCCATGTTCTGAAATCCAACATGTACATCATGTGGAACCAGAGGAAATCAATGGCCCTGGAGATGCCAAAGATGATGAGATCACCAACATGAGCAATACCGAAAATCTAGTTCAAGACAATATTCTGCAGAGTGGGCCAACAATAGATATACAACCAGTTCAGGAGTTGGAACAAATTAAAACGGATGAAGCTTACCAGACTCATGCTGTTATCTTCAATGACCTAGCTCAGGAAGATGCTACAGCAACAAGTGAGCCACAAGTGACTGAAACAGAAGAACTAAAGGACATTGAAGCTACTGAAGCTGAAGAAATCACCAAACTCGACCATGTTACTCATTCCAAGGAACTTGCAGTAGAAAATGATTCAACAGCAGATGAACCAGAATCACATAATGGTGAAATCCATCAAACCCTTGAACAAGATTTAGTTGAAGTTAAGGACACTGAAACTTACCATGAAAAAACTGTATCTACTTCAGAGGAGGACACAGTGGAAGATAATGTAGCAGAAGATGAGCCAAGTTGTGGTAGTCAAGAAGTAGATAATGCAGAGTCAACAGAAGAAACTAAGCAAAACATAGATGAGAATATTGCAGAAGTCTCTGATGTGGTGATTGTTGATGAGGCAATTGAACGGAATGTGCTACAGACTGAGGATATCGCGGAAATGCATAAACAGGAGCTAGAATCAGAAGAAACGAAGAGAACAGAACCTGTTGAATCAGAGGAAGCTTCAGCTCAAGAAGATAATACAAAGGAAAGTGAGATGCAGCAGACAGAGTCAGCAACAGAAACAAAGGAAATTGAACCCACTGAAGTTGAAGCAGTTCCCCGAGAAAGCAATGCCTGTGTTTCAGAGGAGCCTTCTCAAGAAGATCATAAAAAAGAAAGTGAAACAAGTTTTGACAATCAAGAAGTGAACATCGCAGAATTTTCAGAAGTAATTGATGGTCACAAAGATATCATAACTGGAGGAATCTCTGGCCAAAGCAACACAGCTTCGGCTGGGGATTCAGCTGAAGAAAGCAATGTCCCTGAAGGCGAGCCACCTGCACAGGCTGTGCAGGAACTGGGATCAGAGGAGATAAAGAACACTCAAATTGACGAAGTGAATGAAACATCCCTTGAAATGAATGCTACTGTCTTTCAGACGCCAACTCAAGAAGAAAATCCAGCCACAGCCGAATTGCATGAATCAACAGAGGTGAGCAACATTGAAGCCACAGAAGTGCACGGAAACCCCCACCAAAGTGATGCTACTGCTCAGTCAGAGGAGCAAGCAACAGACGAAATATCAAGCGGTCTGAAACCAGAACCAATCAAAGATAATGATACTGAAACCAATGAATCTCAAAGTTCCTCCCAGGAAAAAATAATCTCTACCTCTGAGGAGTCTGTCCCAGAAGAAATAGCAACAGAAGATAATGTAACCACTGAACCAGACGTTGATCAGCAACAACTTCAGGATCAAGAACCTGCCGAAATCAAGGAAACTGAAGCTGATAAATCTCAAGAAATTGTCTCATCTAACACTCTTTCTTCTGAGGAGTTCACATTAACAGAACCAAGTTCTGACACTCAAGCAGACAATTCACAGTTAGTAGAAGAAACTGAGGATACAGAAAATGTGAAAAGCAATACTGCTCTTGCTGAGGCAGCAGCTCCAGAAACAGATGCAAATGCTGATACATCATCTTTCCATGAGGCAGATCTAGAAGAGACCAAGGACACAACCAAGGACACAGGAACAAGTGAAACAGAGGATGTTATGACATCAAGTGACTATACATCAGAAAAGATGGACATGGAAACCATGGAGACTGAAGCAGTCCCTCATGAGATTAATGTTGCAAATATAAAGGAACACACTGAAGATGACACTTCAACACCAAATGCCCCACATGCTGGTTCTGAACCTGTTCGTGAACTAGAATCAGTTGAAGACAGCAGTGACACAACAGAACATCCAGGACAGACCCATGGCTCTACTTCTGATGAGCTTACTCCAACAGAAGAACATACAGCAGTAACAGAGCCATCTTTTAATACACAAGAAGTGCAGAATCTGACATCTCAAGAAACCAAGGACAGTGAAGATAACAAAACTGATGAATTCTCAGATATCAGTAGCTTTCCGACTCCTGGAGATGCAGATCAAGTACCAGGAATTGAACCAACTCCTGGTGTCCAAGAAGTGCAAGAACTGGGTTTAACAGAAGAAACAAGAGACATTGAAGACGTAGAACCTGAAGATCAGCAAGAACACATAGTTTCTACCCTTGAGAAGCCAGCAGTAGATGATGGTGAACCAAATGCTGATGATCAGCAGGTTCATGAGGACAAACTACCAGAAGTGGAAGACAATAAAGCAATTGAAGCTGATGAAGCCTCCAAGCAAAGTAATATTGCCACTCCTGATAATGCAGCTGAAGAAAGGAATGAACTGGAAAGTGATCCAGATTCATATGCCCAGCCAGCAGAACAGGTAGAATTATCCAAAGACAATGAGAACAGCCAGCTTGTAAGGGCAGAAGAAACCTCAGACCAAAGCAACTCTGTTGCCCTTGAAGAAAGAACTACAGAAGATTCTGTTGCAAGCGAAATTGACCCACCTGTTGACATTAAACAAGAGCAACCAGTGGAAGAAATCAAGGGTGTCGATGCCACTGAAGCTGAAGAAGACTTTCATACAAGCCAAGCTGATGCAATAGAGAAACTAGCTTCAGACAATAATATAGCAACAACTGAACCGACTTATGATATTCAGCAAGTGGATGACTTGGAAGGAACGGAGGAAAAGAAGAACACTGAAGCCATTAATGATGGAGAACAATCCAATATTTCTGTTCCAGAGGAACCAACTCCAACAGATAATGGATCAACACTAGAAGATTATCATGTAGAATCAAATGAAGGAACGGTGGGGATTGAAACTGACAATGTCATTTTGGCACACGGAATCAAAGATGAAATACAGAAGTCAGAAGAACTAAAGGTATTTATATTCTGTACATTAACCTCCCTTTTCATAAATGCTAGACCAATACAAGATGTAGGTACTGGTATACTGCTCAATTAGAATTTAAATAACTGGGAACACCTAGCATTACCGCAGCATTTTTTATCCAGTATGAGGCAGATAACAAGCTGTGGCATCCATCATCTTATACAAGTATAAACACTATCTGATCATAGATTGACTAGAATCATTATATTACATGAAGGAGTCCACCAAACAAAGATAAGCTCTTAACTTATTTCTGTCAGACTATTTTTCATTTTTGAGCACGCCAGACTGTTTAGTTAGATCAACATAAAAAAGTTTGAGAATAAGCAGGCTCTATGCAAAGTTGGAAAGCTGAAACATATATTGTAAAGTATAAATTGACAGTAAAGGTATAACTATTGCTAGCCAAGATGCAGAATTATTAAGCTAAATCTAAGTTGCATACTGCAAAGAAAGAAATAAAGAAAAACATCAGTAGTGCTGTCTGAATATGACTCTAGTTTGGGTGAGGGTGTGGTGGGTGGTGTTTGTGTTTTGTACTCCACTTTTTTTCTTCTTAATGCAATGATACACAGCTCTCCTGCGTATTTGAGAAAAAAAATATGACTCTAGTTCTTTGAGATTGGGCATAGCTTGCAAGACACCTCACTAGTGTATCTTATACAGGACGATCCATGTGATTTGGGCGAAACTGTTTTAACAACTCAGAGAAGTGAGAACATGATTGATGAAGATGATGTTCAAACTTCTGGTGATGATACAATAGAGACTTCAAACAATATCCATCAAGTCAAAGAAGAGCCAAATGCTGGAACCGAACATAATTCAAGCGAAATGGCAAGTGAGCATAATGGAGAGAACGAAACTCATGTCCAAGATAGAAATGTAGACGTGCAAATTCTCACAGAAAGTGGCACTGCAGAAGCATCACAGGCTTTATTTGAAAATGATCCTCAGGCAGCACAAGATACTACAGAAAAAGATGATACAACAAAAGCTAGTGAGCAAACCAGTGATCACGATAGCAGGCAACATTGTGATGTAGCACTTCAACAACAAAGTTGTGAGACAGATGCCTTATCCATTTTGGAACAAGATGAGGCTCTGCAAAAGAACGACTCAGATCAAAAGCAGAAAGAAGATGAGGAGATTGAAAGTCAGAATGATGAACTTCAGGTAGATGAACAGAAACATGAAGAAAACAGGGATGATTTAACCACAGAACCACTAGTGGATTACCAGAATTTCGAAAATGGAGCAACAAACAAGACAAAAGATAATGATGAATTCGAGGTAAATATAAGGACTCATTGCATGTGTTACTTTTTCTGGATTTCTTTAATCAGAAACAACGAAAAATAAGTTTTTACCAATGAAACCCTGCAGGCTGAACAAACAGAGGCAACCATTAGTGAGATTCTCAAGAATGAAGCCCTATCCAAGGAATCCACCCCAAGCGTTATGGATATGAAAGTTGAAAACATTAAGGAAACAAGTGAAAAAACTGAAGAAGATGATGATGCCAAAAATGATAACAAAGATGAGCAGGAGAATGCAGAAAATGATGATGTAGTAGCAAAAACTTCTACTAATGAACAAGGCGAAACAACTGATGAAATTAGAAAAGAAGAGGTCAGTTCTGAGTTTTCACCAGTGGATATATGTTCTTTTGCTAATCGTATTAGTGTTGGATTACCAAGTTCAAAGTGATAAATTTCCAGATTAGAAATGTAGAGGGGGGAAAACTGAAAATGCTTCCTTATTATTGGTCTATCACATCACCATTTTTTCTTGAGAAAACACTAGATGTGAAAACTACTCTTAGTGCATTGAATTATTACGTGAGCTCACTAAGTAGAAGTAAAACTAAGAAATGAGTATTAAAAATGACCTATACCAAAGTAGTGATTATTTGGTGAAAGCCTCTCATTGCTTATACTAAAAACACTGCTATGTTTTACTCATTGTGCAGATTGAACCTGGTTTGGTATCATCTATTCAAGAAGCATCTGACCCAGCTCCTTCAAAAGACAAAATACTAGAGAATGTAAAGTCTAATTAACTGAATTTTCCTCTAAAAAACTGACTGAAGATTGTGCATGATGTTTCAAAAGTAATGAATAAATTGGGTTTATTATGAATGTTCTGAAGTCCAAAAGGTGTAATTTCTTTGGAGTCACTTTTCATTTATTTTCCTCTTGAAGAAATATTAAGAAATTTCCATAATAAAAACTGTAAAGTGATAGGAATAACAATAGTGGTATACAGGTAAAAACAAAACAACAAGAAATGAAGAGTGATGTTTAGATTTGCATTACATACAAAACATGTTTCCTCCTTCGCTCCCCCACCATATGCAATTTCAGTGGGCATCATCACTCAGTAAATTTCTGCAATTTCCAATGGTCTGACTCTTCAATTAGCTCACTATGCACCAGCAGATCCAGAAGCATTCATAGCTAGCAGTAATTCTCTGTTAAAATGACACCATAATAATCTGAGCAATGAGCAATAGCTGTTATATTTGTTGTGCAGGATCCTGTTCACGTCATTCAAGCATCAGAGAAAGAGATCGCAGATGAAATAGAAGAAAGTAAAGAAATACATGAAGACAATGCTATTTGTCATGATGAATTACAGACAAATTCTGAGAAGGAAGAGTCACCTCAACTGTACAATGTGGATGCTAAAATTGATGATACAACACCTCTATGCGAAGAAATAATCCATGACAATGCAAGTATAAAGCCTAGAGAAATCGAAGAGATAGGAGAAAACAAGGGCCTCGACTCCACTTCTGAACCTTCTGTAGAATCATCCATACAGAACAATGTTGAGGACTCAAGCAGTCATCACAAGGTCAGTCCTAATACCCTTCAATAAGTATCACTCTTATATGCCTCGAAATTCATGTTACCAGTTTTTCTTATCAAGTCTGTTCTTGGTGAAATTCTATTCCATTTTTTCCTGCAATCAGGTTGAAGATGAAAAGCTTTCAATGTCTGAGAAAAATGATGTAGATACTGAAGCTATGCAAGAAAACAATGATGAATCTGCCGCAGACATAAACCAAACAGAACAATGTCAAGAAGAAATTAATGCAGATGATGTTCGACAACTTGAAACAGAAGAAAATTCATTTGACAAGATTGAAGAAACTGATTCACATGAGGAAACAGAGACAAGCAGTACAGCAGCCACTGAAGCAGTATCGATCAATGAAGATATTACTGATAAGGTCAGTAAGTCAGCAGTTATTAACTATTTTGGAGTTATATAGTATTAGTAAAGTAATTTTTGTGTTTGAGAAAGAAAAAACTAAAGTAATTTTCATTTTTCCATGTAGGTTAGCGGGGCTGATGGAGCACCGTCTAGCGGAAGTCTCAAGACCTTTACTGGCACTGGAAGGGATCTTGATGTTTCATTGGTAATTACAACACCAAAGGAAGAAAATGTGAACGACAATATGGAAAACCTCAGTCTTGACCTTCCTGGACATCCAGCACAGGATGGCAACACCCCTGAAAAGGCGCTCAGCTTAGAGGAAACAGAAAGAGAGATGCCTTCGTCAGAGAAGGTCCTTCAAACTGAACCAGGAGAGAATCAAATTCCCAATGAACAGGATGAAAAGGGCATACAAGATGAGAATCAAACTCCTAAAGAAAAGAATGAAGATGACATGCAAGATACAGAAATTGGAGAGGCTAAGAAAGAAGTTGAACAAGAATTACCTGTCTCCCATTTTCTGATGAATCTAATATTGGGAAAAGAGAGCAGTGATGCAAATGAAGATTCAGAATCTGAGGCTACAAGGAAACAAGGCGAAGCGACAGAAGATGGCAGCCATGCATTCATTTCTAAACAAGAAGAAAGTCTAGGGTCACTTCCTACAGAAAATAAGGTGGATGACAATCTCACCTTTGTTGAACAAGAAAAACATGAAGTTAAATGCTCTGAAGAAACACAGGAAATGGTCAAAGAACAAAGTGATGATATTAAGCTGGACACAGAAAGATCAATTGAAACTGATGAAGATGTCAAAAAGAACACTCATGATTTGGAAATACCAGCATACCAAGAGAATCCCCAGGATGAAATTTCTGGTGAATTGCTGACAGGAGAAGCAGCTGGTGTTTCTACAAAAATGGAAACTAGAGATATTGATATTTCGAGTGTTGAGCTGGATGACAGAGCAGTTGGTACTGTATGTCAGGAAAACATGGAGGTATCAACAAAATATGAAAATGGAAGCTTGAGGAGCAGCCTGAATGACTCAACAAACACAAAGGCTCCCGAAGAGGATACTCTAGGAGAAGGACAAACAGGACTCGTGCTTGAATCTTTACCTGAAGACAAAAGTGTTGATGCAGTGTCTGAGCAAGCACCTTTGTTGACAGAATCAGGAATGACTGATGCAAATGACTTGTCTAGCGATACTGCAAGTGTTCAGAACCCTGTGTCTGCAAAAGAAGACAAACCCACTGAATCTGCCAACGTTGAGGCCACATGTTCTACTGATATTCAACTGGAGAATGAAGAAGTAGATAAGAAAGAAGAGGAGCAGCATGCAAACACAGCCACAGATGAAGTTTCTGAAGAGAATGTAGAAAGTTCACATGTAAATCTGCAGAAAATCACAAGCTCCGAAGTAACATCTAATGAACTAGCAACTCAAATTACCAAACCAGTTTGTGACACTCAGACAATTTTGGCTCGTGAAAAGGAAATATCTGAAGAAAACTTTCCAACAGCAGTCGAAATTCAGGCTGATGGTCCAAACTTGCAGATCAACCAAGATAAGCAAAATGAAGCTGCTGACAATGAATCTGCATTGGAGCCAGAAAAAGTAGGGGAATCTAATTTTCAGGAACACCAGGAAATTGGTACTGAGCAAAAGTCTCCTGAAGAGACTGATGAAGGAGACCAGCAACTTTTGGCCAAGACAGAGATTCTGACCCAAGAACAGGATGTGCATGAGACAGTCGAAAGCCCTCAGCAAACAGTGAGCATAAAATCCAATGAAGACCAGGAACTGTTTGATCCAAAGGTCCAGGAACGTGATCTCAATGTAGTTTCACCCAGAGAAGCTTCTGAGGCTGAAGAAAACTTTGTGGACGTAAGCAAGCTCTGGCTGATGCAGAGTCCAAAGGCTGATGCAGAACAGAGTCCAAAGGCTGATGCAGAAGAGAAGATTTATGACGAGAAGATAAAGGACATAGAGGGAACTAAGAATTTCACTGATGAAGCGGCAATGAAAACTGAAGCACCAGGAGCAGCCCAGAAGGCACTTAAAAAACATGGCCTATTGTCTGGTGTGGGATCAAAGGTAAAGCACCAACTTGCAAAAGTGAAGAAAGCCATCGTAGGCAAACCTGGGCGCACAAAACCAGAATCTCCGAAGGCATAAAACTTCACTCACCTTACAACATGTACATTATTGTATTGTTTGTAGTCTTGTGAGCCATTTATTTCGGTGGTAGAATGTTTGCGATGGGCTAGGAGAAGGTCCTCTTCACAACCATCCCATTGAAATTCTGTGATGTTGCAGACGTTTGTTTTCCCCCCTCGAGAGTATGTTGCAGATGTTTGTAAATATGTCTAGTGTGTAAATTCAAGTTTCCATGAAACATTGAGGTAGAATCAAGGACATGGACTTGCTTGTATTCTTTGTTGATATGCACAAGCAATTTGTGGTCATGATGCAGCATATGCTTCACTTTACTCAAAAAAAAAAGGTGAAAAAACCATGTTCTGTCAGTGTGTATCTTGCTCCTGATCTGGTCAGTCCCTCTTCGAAAGTAAAATGTGATAATGCAATTCCAATCAGATCATGATGATGGAAAGTGGAAAACCATGTTCTGTCACTCTGTGTCTTGCTCCTGGTCTGGTCAGTCCCTCTTCGAAAGTAAAATGTGATAATGCAATTTCAATCAGATCATGACGATGGAAAGTGGAAGCTAGAACTAAGCAAGCAAGTAATGACTATTGAGTTTTACATTTAGCAGTAGTAACTATAATCCGGACTATTGAGTCTTACATTTAGCAGTAGTAACTATAAACCGGCCGAAATGTGGAGAGAAAAAAACGAAAGCGTGGGTCCAGACTCGTCAGGAACAGAACAAGCAGCATCGACCCATGCCGTTGGACCGAACCCCAAATGCCTGTGGACAAAATTTAGAGCGAGAAGTGAGGCGGGCGAGATTACCTGACGTGATATGAAGACCGGACGCGGGGCAGCTGCTCTCTGCCGCGCAGCCGCGTCTGGTGTGGAATCAGCACCGCGTTGCGGCCGGAACCGCCCGCCGCGCACTCTGCGACGCCCCCGTGCGCGTGCTCCATGCAATGCTGCGTCCCCAAGTCGAGAATCGAGATGAGCAGGTGGCGAACCGGAATGGGCGCGGGTCCGAGGAGGACGAGCGTCGAGCAGGTGGTGGGCGTGCCGAGGTACACGCGAGGCGGCGATTACGGCGGCGTCCCGGCCGCCGCCCTACCCTACCATCCCCTCTCACCTCTCGAGCTTGGCGGCGGCAATGAATAGTGGATGCTGGAGGCGAGGTACATTGCATAGGCACGCGAGGAAGACCGAGTCAAATTCAACAATCACGGGTGCTCTCGTTGTAACGGCTCTCTGCACCTTTGCATCTTCGTCCTACGAGAAGAGGGGAACTGTTGAATGGGCGTCAACTGAAACGTGATACCAGAATCACCGAATCAGTGTGATATCACAGCTACGGATAGGATACGGACGGAAACAAGTGATATTATGTTTGTTTTTATGTTTATCTGAATTCGGATTTAAATACGGATAATATCAATCATATCGATAGAATATGATTAGATATCGATATCATAAATATACGATTTTAGTATTTGGATACGGATATAGTATCGGATGTTGAATATCCGAACTCGAATACGGATAAATCTGAACCCCTTTAAACAGATTTGGTCTCGAATAAGGTCGAAAAATATCCGTACTGTTTTTATCGTTAATCACAATGGAACACGGGATAATGATCCACTACAAACAGAAGGGCACATAGATCCAAAAACAATTTTAGTATTGTTTCAACCTTAATGAGGCTATGCACTATGCAGAGTATTCATTACAATGCCACTATTATCTGATGGGGCATGCTAGAGCTCGAACGTCCGGACGTCGTGTCTGCAGCCATTTTCTGTGCGCGTCACGCGTCCATGTGGGGCCCGCGCCACCCCTAACGTTCACTAGCATCGAGAAGAGGAGAGGGACGGTGAATGCTCAGCCGGCGTCGGGAGGAAGAGGAGACACCAAGGCGAGGCAGCAGAAAGCGAGGAAGGAGATGCAACACTCATCTATTTTTGAAACATCTAGAGGCAAGAATTGCAATATGCATTTGAAACACTTACAAAAACACATTAAAAACACTTGAAAACCATTGTAAAACATGTGTAACATCTAAGCCCTTGTTTAGTTCTATGAATTTGGATTTTGGGGCTACTGTAGCACCTTCGTTTTTATTTGGCAAATAGTGTTCAAACATGGACTAATTAGGCTCAAAACGTTCGTCTCGTAATTTTCCACCAAACTGTGCAATTAGTTTTTCTTTTCGTCTACATTTAATGCTCCATGCACGGGCCGCAAACATTCGATGTGATATATACTGTAGCAACTTTTTAGAATTTGGCCACCAACTAAACACGGCGTAAATAAAACACTTGCAACATGCGTCTCGAAAAAAATGATGAAACATTGGGAACTGAAGCTTGCAACATACGTATACAAATATTGCAACATATGCAACATCCTGATCTAATTTTGCAACATCCGCATAAAATACTTTAAACATAAATCTGAAACATCTGAAACACTTGAAACATACGCTTGCAACACGTGTTTTCAACACAATGTCACCTTGCTGCTTGGACGAATGGGCGCTCGACGTTGCGGAGGTCGGCGGCGGCACATGGAGCTCGCCTCTGCAGTTGTGGCGTGGCCCTCCTGCGATTCTCCAACGTTTGCTCGTGGCCTAGGCTCACGTCCGTCGGTGTAACCTTGTTGCTGCTATCTCCGCGCTTGTTGCCGCCGATCGGCATGATCGTCCAGTCTTCGTCCGCAGGGGGATATGATGGACATGGCGCAGCCGGCGATGGGGTGTGTGGCGGCGGTGGGGGAGGCTGTCAGGCGAGAACCGCCCAAAATAGCACGCTTCCAGAGGCGCTCGTCTTCCACCAGACACTAAGCACCCCGAAAGTAAGCTACATCGGACGGTTCCGTCGAGCACACCCCAAGGGAGAACTCGAATAATCCACGTTTTTTCTCCAGAATCCAATAATAAGAACGAGTTTACAATATTTAGTCCATTTTATACAACAAGAGTTCTTAGAAATATATTATTACAATACCAAGTTCAGAGTGTGGAATTTAAACAGCGGAATTACAATGAACATGAGATATAAGGATCTATCTATGTCCACCAGAAGAATCCTCCACACAACAGCTACTCTTCAAACTGCACCTGCAACAGGGGTAAATAAGCCTTGAGTACACAATGTATTCGCAATACTTACCTGACTAGTGGGAATAATTTCCCAACTCCAAAGAATATGATAAACTTTATGGTTTGATGGGTTTCCTTTTTTTACGAAAAGCAATACTAGTAGTGAATTTTTATGTATGTTTTTTATTAGCAGTCATGATTAGTTCATTTTCTAATCATTCTAGGTAAGCACCTGTTTTACTTTCAAGCAAGAGTTGAGCAAATAGATCCGTTTTACCATCTTTCATCTTCCGGTTCTTACTACGGTGCTAAATTATAGACAAGTCGTACCGGATTACCTAACGATTCATGAATCAATGTGCCCAGCTGGATACCCTGAGAGACACGCCCCGCTTGTACTCCAAGCACAAGCAGGACCAACCCATCACTTTCCTGTCAAGGGGTCTAGGTCCCCATTCAAACTTGGACTCCAAGCCCCCACACCTGAGTCCCGGACTCAGTGTGGTGCTTAGACTTCCACCATCCCCGCCTCCACTCAGTCGGTCCGAAAATAGCCGAAACCCACGATAAGAGAGCAACGAGCCTTCCCTGCTCCCATAAACAAGTATGTGCTCAGGATAATAAGTCTGTGACCTAACTAGAATCCAATACAACGGCCGGTCCTTAACCAACACGGACAGGGAAAAAAATGTAACCAAGCTATGCCCCGTTGGCCGTGGGACACAACCTCTTACACCCACCAATACACGTGACACATCCCTGTCCGGTCTCTATTTGTTTTCACCATTTTATCATGAGTGATAATAATAATCACCTATTGGTCCGTTCGCGTGCCCTTAAACCCGACTTGATCCGCTTATTTTTTCATCCAGAACAGTGTTTTTCTCTCATAAATTCCTCCAGCATTCCTCCAAACCATCCAGATTCCTCCAAAATTCAGACAAGCGAACATGCCCATTGTGAGTAACGACATGTTACTCACGCTACCGAAAAACCTAAGCATAGCAGATACTCGACCTAAGCTAGTATGACTCATAGGTAGGTATATCTATGCATGTAGTTTCAATATAAATCATGTAACATAAATGCACATCACATATTTATATCAAGTGGTTATTCAAAATAAGGGTTATGCATCGGGGCTTGCCTTGGGCAGGCGAGTGGTCAGCTATGTCAGTCGTCAGTGGCTCCGAGGCTTCCTCCTATACAAAGACCTTCTCCTCGTACTCCCCAATCACCTCCTCGTATTCTTGCTCTCCAGCGGTTACGAACTTCACCAACGCGTTCTCTACATGCATGCAACGATGATGCAACACTTAGCATTTTAGCAATAGCAGCTTTTAAAATAACAATACATTTACCAAGCTACTAAGCTAACTCTAATGACTAAGATGCTAAACTACTCATCCTTTCTACTAAACAGGTATGAAACATTCAATTATTATCTTAGCAACCAAAAATGCATTTCTTACTTTATTTACGATTTCATACATACAAACACAAGGAGTACTTAGCTACCCTATTTATTAACCTATTATAAGGCTACAAAAATTACAGTGAACACCTAATAATACCATGAAGCTACTGTAAAATTTTTAAAGCTAAAGCTATCATCGATTTACCACAAAAATTCCTACAATATTTAACCTAATAATATTAAACACTCTCAAATAATTTAATAGTTCCTGATATCAATAAATATATATCTGAACTAAATACACTAACAGATAGAGCACAATTTTAGCAACTTAACAAAATTAGTTTTACAATTTTTGGATATCTACATGATTTTATATGATTTACCAAAGTTCAGCTCAGAATTACAAATAAAAAGCCATTTCTATTTTCCATGAAAAATCTAAACTGATTTTGGCCCACGTGGCCCACGCCATTGTCAAGAACGTCATGTGCTGTGGCGATGCAGGTGCCCAAAGTAGGCGAGGCCCACGTGCACGCACATATGCAAAAACACCCTTGAGCTACCAAAGCAATTCAACCCGAGGTAGCAACACTATTCCTACAGATGCTATTATGCAAATAAGCCCTGCCCTCTCTCCTTTTTAGTGTCCTGCCAGACCAAGCTCCAAGGCTTTAGAATTGACGGCCACGCCGACCAGTGGGACCCATGCGTGGCTCCACTAACGGGCCGACCTCCATCTGCAACCCCTAGCGCCTACACTAGCCTGGTTCACTAGCAGCTCAGCGAAAGTGGTGATATACCATGTCGGCCACCCTAAGCCACCATGGGTGAACTAGCAAGCGCTTATAGCATCACTATCTTATCAGTTTCTGCGGTGGTGGTTTCGGGGAGTTCCCGACAAACCACATGGGTGGTGGGATGCGCGGCGCTCCGAGATGCCGCGGGCCACGTGGCTACTGGCTGAGGCGAAGAGGTGTCTAAGGGCGAAGTGGGGATGGAGGCTAAACTAGAGGCGAATTGGATTGGCTCGAAAGGTGATAATCGCCGCGACCACGTGACCTAAAATGGCGCCGCAGAAAGCTCCCAAATTTCGTCGCGATGCAAATCAAAGTGGTGAGGTATTCCTGAACGCTTAAGTACAGCGCAAAGAATTGAATCGGTGCTGTTTTGGTATGGATGATCAGTCAGAGGTACAGGAAAAAGCGGGGGAAGCAAGCGGAAAACAATTGAAGCGGACATGTATGTCGTGAAGTGCTTCCGCCCAAGGTGCAACGACAGCGCGCTTCTCCCAACCGCCACCTTCCGCAGATGAGACGAGAGAGGTGGTGATCGCATACGCAGAAAAGAGTTGCCCATATTGTCATGGACGTGCAAAGCTTGCAATGACAGCGATGAATGCCCGCAGCGTGACACCATGAGCGACAGCGAGGCAGCGAGCGGCAAGAACCATAGGCAAAGCGGTGGTAATGGGCAGCTAGCAGCTGGCGGCCTCACAGTAGGGATGACTAATCTAGACAATTAGCGTGGCAAACGAGATAACACTGAGGCTCAATCTGGTTTGACGACTAACGAAGCCACCCTGTCCCGTGAGGGAAACAAACCGAAAATGTGCTATGCATGGATTTTAAAGCTTCTACCGCGACCAACCCATTACTCCTAAACATAAATGGTCTTCACTACACTCCAGATGGTATATGAGGATACTTAATCAAGCTAAACACTACATCGTTCTTTAATCTAATTCCTCATAATAGTTTGCTAAACATAGCAATGTCTAATTGTCAACAGACTTCGAAAAATTTCTAAGTTTTGAGTTGAACTCTATTACAAATTGCATTTCTAAGCTATTGGAAATATTAGCTATTAATATCATTTTTTGACCGCAGATATTTCATTGTCATCTACAAAGTTTGTACTTTAAACTTTATTCAAGTATCACATACATGTTTTATAGCATTTTTGCTTAATAAAAATTGGTTTTAAACCTTAAGTGATATAACATGACTTGAATTAACTTTCATTTCGCATTTCCGTTGATCATTTCGAGTTATGGAAATTGATCTACACACCTTATTACATGCATTAACATATAAACATGATGCTCATGACATGTTTTAGTAAATGAGTAACACAGAGTGTTACAAGGTTTATTGATTGCATTTGGTGCATTGACAGATGAGAGGCCGGAAATCCTCCGCCATTCAAAGGAGCGGATGAGCGAAGCGGGGAATTTTTTCTTTTCCTTAGGATTGGGTGCCACGTCTGACGGCACGGATGCCCGTGGCCAAGTGCTTCCGTAATCTAATTCGTACATCTCAAGAGGAGAATCTGCACGTGTTAGGCCCCCCTTTGGCAGCGTTCATGCAGCTCCGCTCCCCGTGAGAATCAGCGGAGCGCTGCCAAAGGTCCACTTCCGCGAATTACTCCCAACGCGAATCGCTCCTCGGCTCCCTCGTTTTTCCACTACGGATGGGGAGCGGAAAAACCGCTCTCCACCGCTCCCTCATGAATAGTTCTCTGAGTCTTCTCAGGTCCAGCATGTCGTTGTCAATGGAACCTTCATAGCCTTCGCGCCCAGATCGATAGAAATCCTGAGCCCAACCAGCTTGCCTCCTCCTTGCGCCACCGCAGCTTGCCTTCCCCTTCCTCCAGCAGGTTGGGAGCAGGAGCGGCGAGGAAGATCTACCAAACAGCACCGAGAGCACTAGGGAGCCGGAGGGAGCTGAAGCAACGGGGAGCAGGAGCGGAAGCGGGTTGAGAGCGCTGCCAAACTGGCCCTTACACAACATCGACTTCTCTCAGGGCAAAACAAAAAACTTATAAAAACACATTCCTTGTCACTACCAGTTTCAACAAGGCAATGTTTCCTTTCAACCGTTTTTTCTTTGACATGTTCTTGAGGGCGAGGGAGTATTTTTCCATGGTGACTTGTAACATCGTGTGGAGGAAGGCATTCAGACTCCGCGAAGAAGATATCCTATCTGGCCATGACTCAAGCCAAAATTGTACAATCAGTACTTGGTCACTGGTCAACGCTAGGACACTCTGTGCGAGATCTTTATGTAACTCATGAGCCTTCTCAGAGCTTCACCGCTATCAATGGCTTCCCTCGCCCGGTCAAGTGCAGTGTCGATGTCCTCGGCTCCGCTGCAGCCTAGCAAGTGGTCAGCCATAGCTGCATTAAGAACTATTCGGTCATAGGCTGCTCCTTTCTCGCCGCCTAGTGCTGCCAGACCAAGCTCCAAGTTCTTTAGAATCTGATTCAGAATTAGGAAATAAAGTAAGCGTACATATATCCCACTCCGACAAATTATGGGCCATACATGATCACTAGCAAACATTATGTATACTGCCAGGAGCCAGGGGAGAAAAGCTTACTGATCTATCAGTTCTTGGAGTTTCGGTGGATTCAAAACCAAGTTCCTGGGCATTCACAATGACCCTGAAGCTTTCTCTAGAAATACCTGAAAGATAAAAGAGATAATCCGATAAGCCTGAAATCATTTCATAACAATTGACATATTCCTAACTTAAGTACAGGACAAATCCTGTTTATATGGATGATCAGTCAAGGTACAGGACAAAGCTGAAGTAGAAAACAATTGACATATTCCTAACTTAGGCAGCAGTAGCCCGATCCCTTCCATATGAGTGGTGATCCATACCAGAAAAGAGTTGCCCTATTGTCATGGACATACTTTAGATGACCCAGAACCCAAGCAGCGCAACCATGCCGGTGAATGGCAGCTGCACCACAAGAGTAGGGATTATCTAGAATTAAGGAAAGAGATAACACTCAATCTGGTTTGATCTAACGAACCCACCCTGTCCTAGAGCGAACACTAAAACATGTGGTACTATTCATGTGACAGCCCTAGGGTGGTTCAGTGCAGACCCTTGCTCCATCAAATGGGCCTCAATGGCCTCCAATGGGCTCCAACATATGTTCAGCAGATTACTACTAATATTAGGGCCACATATAAGTGATATAACTAGTAGGAGTGAAATGTATTCATTTTTGTACCATCAGTCTCAGAGGAATTTATGCTGTTTGGTGTCCGAAACCCTGAACAGTGGTTAACAGGAAGTCCTTTTGATGCATAAGCTGATCTTTCCTTGGTTGTCATTGAAAGTGCACCTTCCTCACCCTGCATGTGTAACAGTCTAGCTGAGAACACAATATTGTTTATTGATTGCATTTGCATTACGACAAAATGACAAAGGGAAGTGAAATGATATTTTAACTGAAACATCAGAACTTCCTATCCAACAGAATTCAAACTCAAATTGATTTTCATTTTATTCAAGGACACATTAATGAGTTCTTAAAAAAGGCAACAAAACAGTACCATTGAACTTACCTTTACAACTAGTCCAGCATGAATAGTTCTCCTTCTCATCAGCATAAGCAATGGATCTTCATAGCCTTCATGATAAAATCCTGCAACCATTGATTCTCTCCCCCGTGCCTGGCAGGTGGCAGCACAAATAAGACCAATAAGCCTTTTTTAAAAATGAACTGATAGATTCGAGTGAATCATGCCCCAATACATGACCAAGCCGCATTTTGCAGTTTTTTTTAATGTGATGGCAGGAGCTCTGCCTTTCAATTAAGAAGAATAGAATTGGCCTAGTTTTTAAGGGAAAACCAGGCCTAAAACCCTTACAGACACACAGATTAATAAACAGACCCCTCAAGAACACAAAAACCCTCACGACTAAACCCATGGCAACCCATTTACACACAAAGGTAACACAAAAAACAAAAGCGCCCACCAGAGTACACAGTAGAAGGTCAACCACCAGTATAACATTAAAAAAAAGGGCGTACCCATTGCAGAGAGCTCCCGCTTTGTGCGGGGTCTGGGGAAGGGTATCAGTGGCAAGCCTTACCCTCGCCTGTGCAATGCGAGGAGACCGCGACTCGAACTCGGGACCTTCCGGTCACAGGCGGTAAGACTCTACCGCTTGCACCAGACCCGCCCTTCACCAGTATAACATTACTCATTCAATTTATAAACAATGAACAAGCACTCCTAAAGATCTTCAATTTGACACCAAATTGTATCGTCATAAGAAATACTCGAATTATCTTGACAGTCCTTAAAACTTAAAAGTCTCACGATAAACTTTTGCGTAAAATATCCTAGTGAAGAGATACTTTGAAAGGCGAAAGCCAAAGCTAGTAAACCACCTGACAATTTATTAAGAAGGTGTAACAGAGATTTACTAAATCTTTACCTTATTAGTTGTTCAAAGATCAGGAGGCTTTGAAAAAGCTTTCAAGGTAAAGCTTTCAATCTTTTAAGGTATCTATAGGCAGAACTGATGATACAAAATAAATATACTATTCCAAACATTAAAGAAATTCAATCACTTAAAATGCTCTCGATTTACCTATTCTCGATTGGTTGAGAAAGAGTAACTCACCCTCACAAATTGTTGAACTTTCTCAGAGGTAGCCAATGGTGGACGTTTCTTAATATGCTCCCTGAGCCCAATAATCGAATATCTGCGAGAATACAAGGTTAAAAACTGTCTCCTCATAAAATATGACTTCCTTACCAAGTAAATTCTTAATCACATAGCATGCATCCAAATAAATAATGGTAACTTAAAGTTGAAAAATGTACATGTTTCTTGCAGTTTTAATAAGAAAAGTTCATGATTCCATCCCTGCAGGAATATGAAGAAATGACTTTGGTAATCGGGGTATAAAGTTGCAAAAGAAATGACAAACTCACAATGGTGGACAAGCTTCCTGAAGATTCAAGTATGCAAAACCAGCGGTTTCATCCTGAAAGCAACCAAAGAGTTGTATAATCGGATCAGTTAGCAGTGACAAGAGACGAAAATACTGGGTTGCAGCAAGAATAGGCAGAGCTGCTACCGCACCTCCAACAGTATCTTGGCCTGTGTTGGAGATAAGTGTATGTTTGCGCCCATGAATTTAAGCATTTGTCCTTCTGTTATTCCACCCTGAAAACCTTGATCATTAAGCAATACAAATGGTTCCCAAACAACAACTGAAAGATACATACACAACAGAACCACAAGATAAACATTACTGAAAATACTTGCAGATGACTATTGTTGTTGGATATGTTTAGTAGATAACCGACCTTGGGTGGCATCCATTCAACACCATGGAGGAGGCACGATTCACCATAGCAGGCTCGAACCGCTGCAACAAATAGAGTACTCCTAAAAAACCGCGTATTGCCATCATATGGTTCACCATAGTGTGTCAAGGACTTGACGTCAGCAACCGGTGGAGGATCTGATAAAAAGTTGATAATAAATGACACCATTTATTTGTCTATTCAGTCTAAGAACCCACTTGGTGTTACCTAGTTTTTCTGGAGTTACCTAGTTCATCATCAAAGGCTAGGCAATACGCTTTGAGCTCACGATCAGTTTCTCTATTCATCCGCTGTCCAATCAAAAATGCCGCTAGCAGTGCTTCACTAACCTCCGTCAAATCTGAACTTGATCCAATTAGTAGAATATCCTTTAGTACACATTGAACCTCCTCATAACCTAAATGACCACCAGCAAGCACTTCCCTCAGAGCACCGACGAGTCTCATCTCTCCAGTTCCTTGGCCAACATACCGAGGCCCTGTTAAACCATTTGCACCCATGATCGTCCCTTCAGGGTCTGCTATAAACTTCACCTCAGGAGGAAGGACTTGTACAAGGCGTGGCCAAAATATGCTCATGGCGCGTCGCTCGCCCTCGCTCCACTGCGTGGCCTCTGGAAATGAGTTAGCTCTTATTGTCATGCCTGCAAAGAACGCACCTAACTGTGCTCTAGAGACTGGCTCCTCTTTGAGTTCTCCCATCGCTGCACAGAGTTGCGAAGAAAATGCTGTGTAAGCTTCTCAGGGAAGTGGAAGGCAAGGAAAAAAACAAAGAAACTGAGAGCAGCGCTATTTGTCTGCATGCATGTCAACCAACCAGTAACAGAATTGCTGTTTATGATGATGATGCAGAGTTTCTAAGACAACAAGCTTGCATCGAGCTTCCAAATTCTAATCATAGACATCAGTCACTCACTGTCACTGGACTACCGCCAAAACCAAGCAGCAGCGCTTTATTAGCAAAATCAGTTCGTTTCGAAGCAGCCCGCGCTGCCATCTATCCAGAGTTATCCAAGGTGGCGAGTTGGCTGTACTCACCGGAGCGGAGGATAGTGTCGAGGACGCGCATGGCCTGCTCCTCCCCGAGCGGGCGCGTCTGTGCGGGCCCCGTGCACACCCGCGCCTGCGCCTCCAGCACCGTGGCGTTGGGCCGCGGGAGCCCCGCCGGGCGGTACGAGTCCGACACCGACGGGTTCCAACGCCCGCCCTCCTCCAGCACGTCCACACCGGCCTCCTCCATCCACGACGGAGCCGCCGACGCCGCCACTGCCAGCCCCCGCCGGCATCTGCGCCCGCCGCCGACCAGCGCCGCCGAGCCGACCCGCACCGGCGCTGGCGGCGGCGAGACCCGGCGCCTCGCGCTCAGGATCGGCGTCGGCCCCGGCAGCGGCGGCCGCAGGAGAGAGTTCATTGCGAGCGAGCCGACGTCAAAGCCGCGGAGGGAGCGAGAGACGGTGGGGAGACGGCGACCTCTGCAGCAGCCAAGCGACGGGACGGGGAGGAAGAACCGAGGCGGGCTGGACCGGGCCGGGCCCACCGCGCACCGGGAGGAGTGATGGGGCCCAGAGAGGTCCAGCGCACCGGCGGGGCCTGCGGATCGACGAGTGCTTTGAGATCCGTGCAAGGGTCCGGGAGATCCTGGCGGAACGGACGGCGGAGAGCAGCGGGGGAGCAGGCACAAAGCGGAGCTCCTGCGCCGCCCCCATTTCTCCTCTCCTCCCATCCCCATCTCTCTCTCGCTCGCGCTCGCTCTCGCGGAGATCGAAGAGAAGCGGAGGAGGCCCCAGCCCTAGCGCCGCCCCCACCGCCGCATCAGCCATGGCGCTGGCCGCTCGCCTCGTCTCGCGCTCCCGTCAGGTTCGTTCGCTTGCTCGCCCCTTGGCCTCCCTCTGCGTCGCGCCCTGGGGAACCCTAGTCTCTTGCTAGATCTGATCCGGTGCCGTCTGCCCCGGCGCGCGCGCGCATGGTTTGCCTGGGATCTGTGGTTCTCTCTGGAGTTTATCTAGGAGACATCGGTCGCAAATGGTGGTCGATGTTCTATTCCGATGCATTTTTCTCTGGCGTCATAGTTTGCCAGCATTGACTGAGCGGTCGGAGTGTGGAAGGAATTTATCGATTAGGAAAGGAAAACCTTTAGTTTGTTCGCTATAATGGGAATTGGAGGGGGCAGGCCGTGGAGACGATGCATTCTCTTGTTTACAACCGCTCCAGATCCTTTCAACCCGAATGCAATTTTCCAATATTCCATTTGGACATTTTTGCATATCGGACGCCATGATTAGTATCATTGATCCTAGGTGTTTTTTACAGTTGATTATTGTTGTGCATTTTGAATTGAGTACGAAAAAAGGAGTTTATTTCGCAAGAATGTGCCCGTCGTTAATTTTCAGTGTGGGGCCATTTAGTGTCAGCATATGTTCTGTTATTGGCGCTTCACCTTCTATACTGGCTCCTGTGTTTGTGTTACTCAGTTCATTTGTTGATGTTGTTGCAGCTATATTCGGTGGCTCCTGTGTTTGCATTACTCAGTTCATTTGTTGATGCTGTTGCAGCTATATTCGGTTCAAGTGGCTTTTGGGAATGGAGGTGCCACTCAAGTTCGCTCCTTTGCCAAGGATGCAGCTCCAGCTGACCGTCCTCCTGTCAGTGGGGATGGTAAGCTTCTCATACTTTATTTTGTGTATCCTATTGGTTGAAAAACTGCTTTGGTCATGGATCTATTACAGTTATGTATATGTGCTTGAACTGCTTATTGCAAGTGTAATTGTCAGTCCTGGAAAAAGTTAAAAATCACAAATCTTCCATCTTGAACTCCTGTTGTTTTATGGGACCTGGTGGTATGATAGTTTATCATGAAGCGTTCCAGTATCACAACTATATTTGCATAGCTCAGAATTTCTGTTATGTCTGAAGTCTGGGCACAGGAAGCTGAAACATCAAACTACATAACTGTGGTATTTAGTTCATTTTATTGAACATTTCAGACATGGCTAAGCTGTGTGTTTAATGATGTTTGCTCTATCTGTCCTTTGACATTAAGATGTCCATTTTATAATTTAGAATCTTTGTAGTTTCTTACAGGGTGTATCAGTCCCATCTAGATTATAGTAATAAGATAAAATAACCTGAAGGTGATCCAAACACCCCAGATTGTAGGTTATATTAGAATAGTCCTGCAAGTTGTTTATAATAATCTTATTTTCTCTCTCCAGACTGTTTGTTTTAGATTATAGGTCATTTATACTCCAAATAACAATATTCCACCTTTATAATCTATGGATCCAAACAGTATAGATTATTATAATGATATAATCCATAATACAGATTACCATAATTCAATTGGGATCCAAACGGGCCCTTACTTTAAAGTCTGTCATGTACAATTTTTCGTTATTAGTTATATATACAAAACAATGATCAGAATACCGCTTTTTATGTGTTACAGAACTTTTGGAGTTTAATTTTCATTCCTAACTTCACTCTTTGATGTTATCAAGATCTCCTGAAGGGCATATTCTTTGAGGTAAAGAAAAAGTTTGAGACAGCTCTTGGTGTCCTTAAAAAGGAAAAGATCACTATCGATCCAGATGACTCAGCGGCAGTTTCTCGTTATGCCCAAGTCATGAAGACTGTAAGGGAAAAGTAAGTCAACTGTGTGACTTGTATTCTGCTGCCCTGCACAGGTAAGCAGTAAGCTTACCAGCACACTCACTCACTATGGCTAGAGGTAGAAGAAGATATTGAGAACAGTTCACACACACACAGCACAAGCCCAGCGCTGGCCGAAAGTTCTGCTTCTGGATGTGGCAAACTGAACTGCTCTTTTGCATTGCCTTAGGTGTGATATATATACAAGTGCTAGTACCTCTACTAGGTACATAGTTGTTGGTGAGTACACCAACTACCTACTCCTAAGATACACCAACTACTCCTAGTACTAGCAGTACAAAGCTTAGATCAGCCCACTACCAAGACATGGCTGATGTAATAGCTACCAACTAATGTATTAGAGGTGGCCTATTGCCATACTGCTACAGCAGTAGAGACTGGACAGCCGAGCTGACCAAATGCCAACTCTGCTGCAGCAAGAGAGAGTGAGAGATCAGCAGCAGATTATGTCTTACATATTCCATGGTCATTAGCTTATTAATGGTCATTAGCTTATTATCTGCAGCAATTTTATCTTTGCTTATATGTTTTTCTGTTATAATTTTCTGGACGTAGTGAGAAATTGTTTGGGACTTAAAGGCTTTGTTGTTGTTGTTGTAGTAGTAGTGAGAATTGGTAGTGCTAGAGTCCATAAAAAAATGATTCAAAATAAACACTGTAGAGTATGACTATGATATTTGTGAGAAAAACGTTTTGATTTCAGGATTGACTAATGCCTATTGGGTTTTTGCTAATGCATATATCACCACTGTTCTGTTCTGTGTCTGATAAGTTTGAAATCACATTTGTGAATTGAATTCTAGCATAAATCTAGTGTCCTGAATAATCATTCACTTTCCTTGTTTGCTTTTTATTTTCTGTATATATTCACTCAAGCCCATCGTTATTGGTCTGCTCATCTGATTATACTACTTTTGTCTAAATGCAGGGCGGATCTTCTTTCTGATTCTCAAAGGATTAAATATACCATTGAGACCTTCACCAAGGGCATCCCTGATGCACGGACTTACTTGAATACTCTTCAACAGATCAGAATAAAGTACATCCATTGCCATTGTCGCATGTTTTCTTTTCTCCAAAAATGCTGAATGCCACTTTTTTTGTGTGTTTACCATTTAAATGGCATAATACAAAAGCCTAGATATAATGCATTTTTTGGTACCTTTCTTTTCACCTTCCGTATACTTTGGCATCTATTAGACTATACACTTTTGGAGCAAGTGCTACTTTTTCTTCTGTCACTTTGGTTCATCTTGCAAAATTCTGTCACAAATTGTGTGTTAGCTGTTTCTTATTGTGTTCTATGATACAGGAGTGGTCTTATAGATCATCTTGGAATTGAGCCTTTGATGATGGAAGCTCTTGAGAAGATTGAGAAGGACATTAAGAAACCACTTTTGAGGAGCGACAAGAAGAACATGGCCACCCTCTTGGCAGAGTTTGACAAGATTAACAAAAAGTATGCCAATATATGCATCTTTCATCTCAATAATGTATTTTTAGAAGCAAATTTATTAGATTGCTAGCTCTCCTGGGAGATGCATATTTGATTATTAATGGTTATTGGAGGATCTGGACAGCCCTGGTAAAATACTTGATGACAAAACATTCTTTTATCTGAATGGCTCTCTGCTGACAATTAACCAATACATCACATGGCTTTTAATCTCTTGCAAAGAATGCATGGTTCTGGCCCACTGTTACTTTTGTAGCTAGGCAATCTAGATCAATTGTTTAGATTTGCTGATGTAGGCTTTCTTTTGATTGTCAGATATTCTATATGTAATTCCTTGGATTGGAAAAGAATGAAATCCTTGATGCTGCAAATTCACTATGATTAAGCATAAACCGAGCCTGTGCATAACAAGTCTTTACAGGAAACCATTTTGTTTGCATTTAGCTTCTTGTCCTTGCATTCTCAAGTTTTTCTGCTGCACTGTTAAACTTGATATAGGCTTGGCATTCGGAAGGAGGATCTTCCCAAGATCGAGGAAGAGCTTGAATTGGAAATTGCCAAAAGCGAGCTGACTGAACTTAAGAAGGAATGTGTTGAAGCAATGGAGACTCAACTCAAGAGGTGTGCATCTTAACTGAACTTAACTACTTGATCTAGCGCCTCTACTATCTAAAACCTCTGGATTCTTACTTTTACCATATTTTTGTGCACATCTGTATTACAACACACATTTGTGCTTTGTTGCCAGGGAGGAGTTTCAAGATGAGGAGATGCCTGATGTCAGGAAATTGGACATCAGAAACTTCCTGTAGGCCTGATCGACGATAATCTTTGAGGCATTGCAAATCGCCCAACCACCACCCTTGATTTTTCTTTGGTTTTGGTTTCAAGTTGATCGGTGCTGTAAGCTACACCTATGAATGCTGCTCCTTCCCTTTTTGTAATAAAAAACTGCACCGAAGTACAAGGACAGTCAACCGTTGAGTTGGATTGCATCTTGCCATTCTGATGCTCTGGTGGCCAGCAACAATGAGATGTCCTTGTGTTATAGTAGATGAACCAGATTATGATACGAGGCATTCAGGCAATGATGATACCTGGTATTTAACCTTTATTTTGGTTTCTTTAATATCGCTCAAGAGATGATACTCAGTTTGGAGAGTAAAGATCCATTTGTTTTATTCTGTTATTATTTTTGCGCCTTGTAAAAGAATTGTTTATGATTTTCTGCTAGTCATGTTTTGGCTGCAAAATTGCTGACGCGGGAGGTGGTATTGATATTGTTA